TGTGTGTGTAAATGGTCACATTTTTCTACAGCGCTTTTCCACCTTCAAGGCCCTCAAAGCACTTTACAACAACGAACCACTCACACACTCACACACACATTCATAAACCAGTGCACACAGACTCTGGGGGTGCGGTGGGTTAAGTGTCTTGCCCAAGGACACAAAGACAGCATTCATCTGTGGGAGCTGGAATCACATCAGCCAAAACGTGGGTCAGTGGATCTGATGCTCAAACCAAGATGTTTTTTATGCCAAGAGTGGGATTCGAACCGCCTACCTTCAGATCAGTGGACGAACGCTCAACCAACTGAGCCACTGTCGCCCCAGTAAATGTGTGTGTACCGTGTTTTCCGGACTATTAGTCGCTCTGGATTTTAAGGCGCACTGTCATTAAATGGTCTATTTTCAAACTTTTTTCACAAATAAACCTTGTGGGACTTTAAATGAAACCCAACAGTGTGATGGTGAGTGGTTTTGTTTGTTTGTTCGTTCACGGTGACTCTGGGCTTTGTTCAGTTGTGGCGTGTAGGGAGGGTGTGTCTGGGACCAACGGATTGTCGGCGTGTTCGCAGTGACTCAGTTGTTCAGTCGTGTCTGGAAGCGGCATGTCGCGCTCGCTTTTTCGGTTCGTTCCTCCGTTCTGTTCCTCGTCGGCGTGGAGCGATGAGTGTGTCTGTGGGTGTGTTTCGCTGTGTGATCGCTGTTTGCTCCGTGTGTGTTTGCGGCTTTGTAGTTTACTGAAGTCGTACTGGGACACTGAAGTAGATTCCTGTATAAGGCGCTCTGGATTTTGGGGCAGCGTCTTCACAACCTGAGAAAGATTTTCATGGAGGACGGGACTCGAACAGACCTCGAAGAGTCGCGTTTTAGGTTTGTGGAACTTCGGTTTAATGGTTTTCTGTGTCAAAATGTGTGTGTAAATGTGTGTGTAAACATGTGTGTAAATGTGTGTCGTTTTCTCCAGCAGCTTCATAAATCTGCCCCATAACCAAATCTTCAACCAACAAACTCCACAAAGGATAAACATTCTAACATGAACAATTTATCCACAACGATCAAGAGAAGAAAGACCAAAACTTAAAGGAAACAACGAGCCACATTAGTGAAGTACAGAGTAAAACAAACAAACACTGAGAATATTGTAAGAAAACAAACTGTGAGAAAACAAATTAGTCATAATTGCAGAGAAAACGGCAATTATGACTAATTGCCCTGGAGGTGAAGCGCTCTCCCGCTGGGTGCTGCTGGGTGCCCGTCTGCAGGACCCCACTGTGCTGTTTGCCCACCGTCTGTCAGATTAATGTCACCAACTCACCCCCAGACACACACACACACACACACACACACACATACACACAGACACACACACAGACACACACACACACAGATACACACACACAGACACACACAGACACACACACACACACACACACACACACACACAGACACACACACAGACACACACACACACACACAGACACACACACACACACACACACACACACACACACACACACACACACACACACACACACACAGACACACACACACACAGACACACACACACACAGACACACACACACAGACACACACACACACAGACACACACACAGACACACACACACACACACACACACACACACACACACACACACACACAGACACACACACACACACACACACACAGACACACACACACACAGACACACACAGACACACACACATACACACACACAGACACACACACAGACACACACACAGACACACACACACACACACACACACAGACACACACACACAGACACACACACAGACACACACACACACACACACACACACACACACACACACACACACACACACAGACACACACACAGACACACACACACACAGACACACACACACACAGACACACACACACACAGACACACACACACACACACACACACACACACAGACACACACACACACACACACACACAACACACACACACACACACAGACACACACACACACACACACACACACACACACACACACACACACAGACACACACACAGACACACACACACACACACACACACACACACACACACACACACACACACACACACACAGACACACACACACAGACACACAGACACACACACATACAGACACACACACACAGCACACACACACACACACACACACAGACACACACAGACACACACACACACAGACACACACACACACAGACACACACACACAGACACACACACACACACACACACACACAGACACACACACACACACACACACACACACACACACACACACACACACACAGACACACTCCGTTTCTCTGTGGTTAATTCAAACACAAACTGTTTCTGAGTCAAACCAAGAACATATTAAAGTTGCATTATGTAACTTCCTGGTTGTTGTGGTTCTGTCACCTGCTTGTTTCTATGAATAAGCTGTTTCAAACAGTTCTACTTTACATTTACTCATTTACAGGTGGTTTTAAAGCTCAAAAATACCTAGAAAAACAGACATTCTGCAAAAATATCAAAATATCGTGATAATGTGATGATACAGTATTGATTTTCATGGGCTGCTATTGATATATCACCAAGAGTATTTTTGGTATTTTATTTGGTATATTATTTTACTAAGATGTGTGTTAAATCATTCAGTGGTTCAGGTAGAATCCATCACAAAAGGAGAAATTAAATTTGTCAACTGGACTTTCATCCAAATTTTATTTCTCCTTTTGCCGTTTATTTTACTAAATTAGTTACAGCTATAGTTTTGTTGCTTGTTTAGAGGAAGGAAACTCTTTTATGCAACACATTTGACATTGTCACTGCTGTGATGAGTAAAATGGGAGTGTTTCATATGAACTTTGATGAGGGCGTAGGTTTAGTCTCAGCTTTGGTCTGGACATGATCATCATCACGAATGTCGGACTTCCAGTCACTGAGCAATCCACACCGAGAAGGATTTTCCAAAAAAGTGAGCATCCAACCTCCATGTTTGTTTTCCCAGTGGGATGTGTCTATTGACAAAGTCGATCTTTTCAAGTCTTTTGAACCATATCACTTTTGTTTCTGGTTCTGATATTGTCATATTTTAGTTTTGGGATTCGGACATCGTAATCGTGTGGTAGTTGGATTCTGACAGCGGAAAACGGCTCGAGAAATTTGTTTGTAAACTCCATAAATGCAAAAGTGAATCAGATGTGTGTGACTCAAACTAGAGCTCGACCGAGATGGATTTTGTTGTGGCCGTTATGAAACCGATATAATGTGAGTTGGAGCTGCCGAAATATAATCGCCAATATATTTAGTGATGTAAAAATTCACTGTAAATCTTGAATTGTTTAAAAAACTTAGGTGGATTCTAAATTGGGTTTATTTAGGCAACATTTATTGTTATTCTGCCTTTTTACGTCATATTTACAGACAAAAGTTCGGTTAAATGGAATTTTTGCATCACATTCTAGACACTAGTGATGGGGATTCCAGTTCTTTTTGGAGAACCTGCTCTTTTGGCTCGGCTCACTAAAAGCAGCTGGCTCTTTCGGCTCCCAAGCGGCTCTTCAGATTGTTTTGTTGCAAGCAGGACTAAAGCAGGTCTAAACCAGGACTGAAAAAGGACTAAACCAGGACTAAAACGGACCTAAACCATGTGTAAAACAGGACTAAACCAGAACTGAACCAGGACTGAGTGTCGGGACTCGGTCTCTGTCTCTCTCCGTCTCTCGAGCCCAAGATTAGTCCTGGTTTATTTATTTTATGCTGAACTACAGCCAAATATGCACTTTTTTTCTCTCCTTTGCATAGGCATAATTCTGAAAGTTTCGTTTTCAGCCACTGTCAAACTACCACGAGTAAAGAGAAAAAAAGTGAGAGAAAGAGAAAACATGGCTCTTTGCTGTAAGAGGGGTTTCGTTCGTGACCGACCCATCACTAGTAGCTTGTAAAGAAACTACCGCTTTTAGCCTTTAGCCGTAAATACGTGCGCGCTGCTGTAATTAATTATATGCGCAAGTATCATCACACGTCTGTTCACAGCTCATTTACATATCAATGCAGGTCCAGTAACAAATATACGGCCAATATAGTCACTTTACAATAGACCAATAGAAGAGAAAACAGACTCTTTATGTGTGGGAGCTACAGCAGCTAATCGCTAATGAGAAAAAACAAAACTAGCTTCAAAGTCGACATATTTCCAACACTCACAATTCCGTTGGGAAGAGAAACAGTGTGTGACAGTTTGAGTCACACACATCTGATTCACTTTTGTATTTATGGAGTTCGCAAACAAATTTCTCGAGACGTTTTCTGCTTTTAGGATCAAACAACCGCACGATTACGACGTCCGAATCACAAAACTAAAATATGACAATATCAGAACCAGAAACAAAAGTGATATGGTTCAAAAGACTAGAAAAGATCGACTTTGACAACAGACACATCCCACTGGGAAAACAAACATGGAGGTTTGATGCTCACTTTTTCGGAAAATCTGTCCCAGTACGAATTGCGCGATGACCGGAAGTCCGAAATTCTTGACGCGTGTATTGATCGTTCCCGAAATATTGTTGTGACATGTCCCTACGCAAACCTACGCCCTTGAACTTTGCACAATAAGTGGTTTAACAAAGACTTTTAGAATCACAGACATGATTTAACCTTAATTTTTATTGAACCGAATCGATTTAAAATATATCATATCCAATGGAAAGTGCAATGTTTCGAGTTATGTGTCGTATCGGCAACTTCTTAGTGATACTCAGCCCTACTTTCCACAGATCTGACCTGTAATTTGGTTTGCTTTGGTCTCTAGGAAGACAAAAAGTTGTGAAACATTCCAGACTAAAATCAATAACACCTCCGTGGAGAAAAGCGTTTGACGGAGCCTCCACCAGAAAAGTTACACAATGCAGCTTTAGAAGTTCGGGACAGGCCACGGAAAAGAAGTTTAAAGTCCCCCCCAAAAAACGCGCTCACCTCTTCCTCCTTCTCATTTCTGAAGCAGAGACACGCCGCTCGCCGCTTGAAGCCCTCGCAGTCGTACGTCCTGGTCTGGTGGGGTTTAATCTTCATCATAAGTCACTAAAAACCGGGAACCAAACTCCAAACCAAAACGAAAATCTCGGTTTTTCGGCGTAAAATCCAGGTGTGCGCGTCCGTGTTCGGTGTGAGAGAGGTGAGAGCCGGTGTGTCCTTCGTGCCCGCGCGTCCCCATGTGCTCCGTGCGTCCGTGCGTCCGTGCGCGCTCCTCTCCGCGCGTAAACACACCCGCGCCCGACCAATGAGCGCGTTTTCTCTATTTTACGCCTCAAACCCAGATCAGAAATAGAAATGTAGAGCCGGAATTTACTTTTTCAGAGCCAAGACCCGCTTCTGAGTCGAATATTACTTCCTAGTTTAGTACATTGTTTTTTTTTTACGTCAAAAATTGTTTCATTCGCACAAACCCTGAAGATTTACGCGGAGTTCTTTTCTCAAACTTTTAAAAATATAATTTAATAAACCAAAACAAAACATTAACAAAACTCACACACATGTAAACTTAAACTGAGGCAGATAATTATACATGCAAAGAAACCAAAAGAAACTGACGAAGTGGTTAAAAATAAAATCCTAATTCTTAGACTTTAATGATTCACAAGGGAAATTATAAATTTAAGTTCCATGTCTAAGTCTAAGTCATAAGTCTAAGTAATAACTCTAAGTTCTAAGTGTAAGTGGTAAGTCTAAGTCTAAATCTAACTCTAAGTTGTAAGTCTAACTTCTAAGTCTAAGTTGTAAGTCTAACTCTAAGTTGTAAGTCTAAGTTGTAAGTCTAACTTCTATGTCTAAGTTGTAAGAATAACTCTAAGTTGTAATTCTAAGTTGTAAGTCTAAGTTGTAAGTCTCACTTCTAAGTTGAAGTTGTAAGTCTAACTCTAAGTTGTAAGTCTCACTTCTAAGTTGAAGTTGTAAGTCTAACTTATATGTCTAAGTTGTAAGTCAAACTCTAAGTTGTAGTTCTAAGTTGTAATTCTAAGTTGTAAGTCTAAGTTGTAAGTCTCACTTCTAAGTTGAAGTTGTAAGTCTAACTCTAAGTTGTAATTCTAAGTTGTAAGTCTAACTTCTATGTCTAAGTTGTAAGTCTAACTCTAAGTTGTAATTCTAAGTTGTAAGTCTAAGTCTCTTTATGTTAAGTTGTAAGTCAAACTCTAAGTTGTAGTTCTAAGTTGTAGTTCTAAGTTGTAATTCTAAGTTGTAAGGCTAACTTCTATGTCTAAGTTGTAAGTCTAAGTTGTAAGTCTAAGTTGTAAGTCTAACTTATATGTCTAAGTTGTAAGTCAAACTCTAAGTTGTAGTTCTAAGTTGTAGTTCTAAGTTGTAATTCTAAGTTGTAAGTCTAACTACAATGTCTAAGTTGTAAGTCTAAGGTCTAAGTCTTCTATAATGTTGAGTGTTTTGATAGATTTATTGTTAGAAATACTGTTTAGTGTTTGAGTCTTAATGTCGAGCAGAGCAGCGTCTCCAGCGTCTCTGTACGTGGCCCCTCCCACCAGAGCAGCACAAATGAAGACTTGTCTCTTTCCAAACGCTCTTAAAGGACGATCGTTTTGACTGTTGACCGTGACACCCTCATCAGAAAAATGTCCAACATGAGAAAAGTGGAGCCGAGTGCAGGATTTTACAACAAAAATTGACTTTTTCCTATTTACAGACAAGTTCATGTTAAAACTTTGTGTTGAAATTGTATTTTTCTTAAAGTTTCAGGTTGTTCATAATATTATAATGTGTTGTAAAAGAAAGAGTTCATCAATTAAAAAAGATTTCTGTAATAGATTTGTGTTTCTCTGCACAAATATTTGAACTTATTGTTATTTTTGGGGTTTATATGACATGAGTTTTCTGATCCGGACACTTTGGATCAAAGTCGGTTGGATATTTTTAAAAATGAGTTTAACACTCCTGCTGTACAACTTTTTAACTCTGATGAAATGAAACTCTTCCAAATTAAAGCTGCGCTCTGTAACTTTTCCAAGCGGGGTCGGACACCTGCTCGTCTTCAGTGAAAGGGCTGCCTGCGTCTTTGCCTGAAATGTTGCGTAGTGTGGCATTAAACGCTCATGTCGCCATCAGGGCAAGTTACAAGTCAGGTCTGTGTGGAGACGACTTCCGCTCACTTTCCTTTTTTTTCCTGAGTATTTTAGAAGAACAAAAACTCCTGTAATTGAACAAATACAGGACAGATAAAGGTTTGTGCAGACGAGACTTTGTTATGCAATTGTAAATTTATTTTTCCTCTATAATTTTGTGCGGTTTAAAGCCTTAATAATAATAATGATAATAATAATAATAATAATAATAATAATTTAGACTTTAAACTGCACAAAATTACAGAGAAAAAAGAAACAAACAGCTCTTACGGCGTGTGAATTTGTGATTTTTTTAGACATAAATTGCAAATGCAACAAACAAGAAAAAACAAAAATAAAAGCGATTTGTAATTATACACAGTGTTGGGGAGGTGACTTTTAAAATGTAATCCCCTACAGATTACAGATTACATACCCCAAAATGTAGTTTGTAACGTAATCCATTAAATTACTTAAAGTGAGTAATGTAATCTGAATACTTTGGATTACTTGATTTGCTGTAGAGAAACAAAGACGAGGAAATCTTCACATAAGATGTTTTGTCTGATAAAAGAAAATAAAAAGCCCAGAATTTACTGAACCAAACTAAAAGTTGTCAGTACTGCATGGTTTAGTCCTGTTAAATCCTGGTTTACTCCTGGTTTAGTCCTGGTTTAGATCTGGTTTAGATCTGGTTTAGACCTGGTTTAGTCCTGGTTTAGACCTGGTTTAGTCCTGGTTTAGTCCTGGTTTAAATCTGGTTTAGTCCTGGTTTAGACCTGGTTTTAGACCTGGTTTAGTCCTGGTTTAGATCTGGTTTAGACATGGTTTGGACCTGGTTTAGTCCTGGTTTAGATCTGGTTTAGACCTGGTTTTAGACCTGGTTTAGTCCTGGTTTAAATCTGGTTTAGTCCTGGTTTAGATCTGGTTTAGACCTGGTTTAGTCCTGGTTTAGACCTAGTTTAGACCTGGTTTTAGACCTGGTTTAGATCTGGTTTAGTTCTGGTTTAGACTGGTTTCTGGTTTAGTCCTGGTTTAGACCTAGTTTAGACCTAGTTTAGACCTGGTTTTAGACCTGGTTTAGATCTGGTTTAGTGTCCGGCAATGAGTGGAATTACCGAAAAAAAAAAAACAAACAAACAGTGGTTTAGCCCAAAATGTGAAAACAGGAAAATCCCTCTGTGTAATCCATTTATTCCAACAAAGTAACTGTAATCCAATTACCACTCACTGAAACAGTAACTGTAACTGAATACAGTTACTCATAATTTGTACTCTGATTACGTAACTCTGGTACGTGTAATCTGTTACTCCCCAACACTGATTATAGATAATGTTTTAACACTATATAATGCAACTTGAGTGTTAAAGTACTCAGAATATTCAGAATACGATACTCTGATTGGCCCAGAATACATGAGAATTCACATTTTAATTCAGGTGTTCTGTATTCTGTAAATAAATACAATATAATAAAGTATTTTCATCACTGCCCGTCACACTTCGGCAGCTCGGTGCTTCCCTCTTGTGGACAAACGCTGCGTTGCGCTAAAAACACATGACACTTAACAGTATCAATCAACAGATTTTATTTACAGAACATAAACAGATGCAAGTGGACCATTCATAGCATTCAGAAAACAGGAAAATAATTCAATTTCCCCCCACCCCAAGATTCAGAGAAATAATGAGTTTATAAACAGTGAATAAAATACAGGCTTTTTTAGGCCATTGGACTCGTGTTAAGATCCTGGAACCCGACCCTTCACAACCCCCCCGTCGTGCTGACAGCTCCGAGAAGCGACCGTGAGGACAAAGAAATGCACCAGAAGCAGCAGAAGCAGAGGTGAACGGTGAGAACAAGGCATCGTTAGTATGAGCAACAGTTTGTCACACAGGTAAGACAGGTCGTAAAAACATAATCGCTAAAACTAAAAGAAAGGTCCAGTCTATTCTCCGCCCTTCTACGCCACGGAGTTCGGAGCCGCCGGGTTCTGCTCTGCTCCGCTCCGCTCCGCCGGGGTGACGCCTATTTTTTTTAAAAAGCAGCAGGTAGCGGCGAGACAGAAGCATTTTTATCGACAAAGAAACGACAGAGAACGGCGTTAAAAAGAAAGATAAAAGTTCGAGCGTTTTCTAGTGCGTCTTTTCTTGGACTACACCGCCCCCTTGTGACCCAAACAGACACCGCGCGCACCAAAACCCGAAGTGGAGCGCGTTTCCTGTTTGAAGCGACTGTCGGCGGGCAAATGAAGTCGAGAGAGTAAAAACCTCAGCCCGTGCGCGTGACCGGAGTGAAGGCAGACACAGAGGACTATTGGATTGCGCGCGTGTGTTTGTGTGTGTGTGTGCGATTAAATCAACTGTCAGCAGATCTGTTCACTTACATATATGTATGTTTATAGAATAATATAGATGTATAGTTATCATTAAGACCAGAGTCCTTGATGCAAATGGAGTAGGAGGTCTTGGCCGAACATGAGGAGTTGCGTTCACACTTCCACTTCCGTCTCCAGATCGTCTACACTTCATTTTTGTTTCCAGCGTAAAGCCTGGTCCAGGACTTGGCTAAAAGGCAAAGGCAAAAGTTTAGATTAAAACGTGAACTAAAACTAAATAAAAACTAAAAAAAAAAACACAGAGCAGATTGTTTCCCGTTCACCTGTCTCGATGGCGATAGCTTCGTTGGCCTTCCACTGCTCGGCCACGTCGTTCGCTAGAGGGTCGTCGGGGTTGGGCGCGCTTAGTAACGCCTGAATCGACAGGAGGACTGTGCGGATCTGAAGAGCAGGTGACCATTTGTCTAAACCAAACAAAAAACAGAGAAAGAAAGACGGAAAAGTTTAACATTCACACTGTTATTTATTTAGCAAATATAACTCGACAATAAAAAGAAACACACTAGACAAAAAGTAGGTGCGAAGAAGAGGAAAAAAAAACAATAGGGCGAAATACTAAAGCCTCCACCTTATGAATACATTAAAAATTTTGCATTATCGTTGTGCATAAAAAGATATATATATAGAAAACTAACATTTAAACAGCATGGATTAAATTCTTTTGATTCAAACATAGATTAAAACACAATGAAACATCCACAATTGAAAGATGATCAAACATTTGCACGAAATATCAAGCAGTTCCTCAAACTCTTTTTAAACATCGCCTCTGATCTGCTTCACTAACCAGATGTGAAAACTGCTCCAGAATTTACAGCCTCAGTATCGTTGCAAAACTGAGCTCTTGATGTGACAAATTGGAACATGAAAATTATGAATTTGACGAGTTTTGTATCTGTGAATCTCTGCATTGGTTTTAAAACAAAATGTGAAATGTTTGGGGATCGGTGTTGAATTATAATGAATTTTATACATAAAAATACAAATTTGATAAATATTAATCTTATAAATATTAAGAATGTTCAGTGTGGTGAATAAATGAGGTTTATGTTCTCTAGCCAGAATTCCCATCTTTTTTTTCGATAATTTCCTTGTTTGAGCTCCTGATGAGTCATTTCCAGAGAAACACTGAAGACACGAATCGTTTTATCCCGTTCAGAGCGTCTAGAACAACCAAATACACAACAAAACCTGCCCATGTTTCTCCGATGCTGCTGAAGTCAGTGACATAGTGTGCCCGGTGTCATGGCGGCGTAAGTACCGTTTTCATAGGGGTGACGTGACGGTGCAAAGCCTCTATACACAAATCCACTCGGGTGTCCCAGTACGACTTCAGTAAACTACAAAGCCGCACCACCCGCAGAACACACAAACACACACGGAGCAGACAGCGACCGCACAGAGAAACACACCCACAGACACACTCATCACTCCACGCCGACGAGGAACGGAACGGAGGAACGAACCGAAAAAGCGAGCGCGACGTGCCGCTTCTAGACACGACTGAACAACTGAGTCACTGCGAACACGCCGACAATCCGTTGGTCCCAGACACACCCTCCCTACACGCCACAACTGAACAAAGCCCAGAGTCACCGTGAACGAACAAACAAACAAAACCACTCACCATCACACTGTTGGGTTTCCTTTAAAGTCCCACGAGGTTTATTTGTGAAAAAAGTTCGAAAATAGACCATTTAAAGTGACTAATAGCCCGGAAAATACAGTAATCAAACAGTTCCGTTCCTCGTCGGCGTGGAGTGATGAGTGTGTCTGTGGGTGTGTTTCGCTGTGCGGTCGCTGTCTGCTCCGTGTGTGTTTGTGTGTTCTGCGGGTGGCGCAGCTTTGTAGTTTACTGAAGTCGTGCTGGATTGTGCCGCGCAGCCATTTTTTGACGGGGTTGGAGGCTTAAGAGTGCATCTAATAGTCTGAAAAATATGGTAAATGTGCCCTGCGAGATCAAATCAAATCTGTATTAGAGCTGATCCACCGGCTACAGATCGACTATAGAGACATTATTTAAAATTTTGGTAACACTTTAGATTAGGGAGCAAATATTAAAAGTTAGTTAATAGTAAAATGCGTAATAAGTGCTTAATTACAGCTTTGTCAGTATTTATAAAGTACTTTTAATGCATTTTTGTCTAAGGTGGTGTTTTGCGAGTACTAACACATTAACTATTTTCTTCCCATTAAAATAGTGGAGATCACAACTGATGTTTTTGTACAAACACTGAACTCTTAATAAACATTAATAAGTGTTTAATTAATACTAACTAATAACTAAGTAACAGCTAATTACCAAAACGATTACCACTTAGTTAGTGATTAATATCTGGTCCCTAAACTGAAGTGTTACCAAATGTTGTTCTGATTTTATATTCTGTTTGTTCTGGATTCAATGTTTAAGCAAAATTATTATTAAACATTTATTTTATAAGAAAAGGTTTAACATTACAGATCTTGAAAGAAGAGAAAACATGCAGATGTTGCTGAAATTTGTTAATAAATATTTAGTTTGGCCCACGAAAGTTTTGGTCAAAGTTTAAAATTTTGGCCTCTGTGCGTTTGAGTTTGACTCCTGTGTTTTAAAATTTTCGACTAAGCCCTGATGAAGACCAGTCACGGCCGAAACACGTAATTGAAATAAAGTCCTTTTACTCGCATGAATTTAACTTTTTTTTTTGGAGTGCCTGGATTTCGTTGTGTCTAAAATATCACGATAAATCCTGATACTAAAACGAAGGACGATATATTGTGACTTATCAATAATTTTGTATAATATTATGGTTGAGTACATTCACATTTCACATTTTTAAATCATGAAAATAGTAAATGGAACTTACTAATTTTCATGAAAAACACACGGCTTTAACGCTTTTTGAATCGATGTGAGAATCACGCAGTGAAGTATCGCAATATATGACTGACTCGATATTTTCGAGTAGACTGAATAAAGAAGTGGACGAAGCGAACGTGACGTCGCCCACAGCGTTCGGCTCGAGTCAAATGAAGCTCCAGTTCCGTATTTGGAATTCCGACTGAGTATCATAGCAACCGAAGAGCCAATCAGGAGTAGGCGTGTGCAAAAATACTGAAATATCGATTTATCTTATTGTTTAATTCGATGATACGGTCGTAAATATCGTGAGTTACTGTATCGATATATCGCCAAGAGTATTTTTAGGTATATTTTACTAAATTATTTGGTGTAAGAGCTACAACTGTGTCGACAATTTCACCGTTTTGAGTAAAATGAACGTTTTTCAAATTAATTTTGCCCTGACGAAGACCATCTTGCCGGTCGAAACGCGTTGACGTCCCTTCATGAAATACATCGGGAGTGCCTCGGGTTTGTACCTTGCCCACTTTTACATTTTCCAGTAAGGGTCATTTTCTGTTTAAGACAACTGTTTTAACCCTGTTTTAACGTCTCGTTCTTTCTGCCTCGGAGCTCGTCTCGCAGCAGCCGCTCACGTGACCAAAGTGTGGAAGTGTCGGCCCCTCCCCCGACTGCTTCGCTCTGCGTGTCGATCGCTTCAGTGTATCGAAGCGTTTCATTGGCTCGGCGAATGTTCCGCTCTGTGATTGGTTCAGAGTGCTTCAGAGTGTTCAGTGCACTTCCGTGGTTTGACGAGCGCTGAACTGCTGCAGTATAAAAGATGCACCAATATTTCTTGAAAATGTTGGAGAGTGAGGAGTATTGTGTGACGTTAGTGGTGATTTTGGTGACTTTTGCAGACTTTTGGCATTTGTTTCATTTTCGATGGCATCTACAAGTGGAAAAAAGCGATCCATGGTTTGGGATCACTTTGATCTAATTCCACCAAACAAGGTCACCTCTTTTCTTATTTACAGCAAGTTATTTATGTTGCTCTTTACATATTTTAAATCATCATTATTATTGTTGGTGTTGTTCGGTACGGTGTCGCTCTGCACACAAGTATTGTCTTACACTAACAATACTTCATCGATGTTGAGACACCTGAGGCCAATGGTTAAATTTGTCCACTAGAGGTCAGTGTTTCTCCGAGGCCTCAGACACGTTGAACCATTTGAGACGATATTGCGACTGAGGTGTCAATGCTTCACGAGGCTCTGTTCGCCCATCACTACCTGTACGGCTATTTTTTACTTTATAACCCAGTGAAGCGCTCTACCTCTACCTCTATTTCATTATTTAACTTTTCACAGACTTAGCGGACTTTTACTATCACAGCCATGATTTAGTCTTGGTTTTTCATTGAACTGTATTAAATTATTCCTAATTTATTCTTATTCTATTTCTTTTTATTTATTTACTGTAATTTATTGGATCGTTTGCATCGTTGTCTGTTTTTGTATGCTTTCTGGATGCTGTTTTTATGCTGCTTGTACTGTTCTTTGCTGCTTGTACCGCGCTTTGTAAACCTTGTGTTTAAAAGTGCTTCATAAATAAAGATGTATTATTATTATGATTATTATAAATCGATTTGTAATTTATCGTATCAAATCGTATTGAATCAAAAGCGCACTGTATCGAAAAACGTATCGTGTATCGAGGTATGTATCGCATCGCCCCGTCCCGCTGCACCACTGGTTTGGGAGGGGGCGGGCGCTTTACAACGCTGTCAATCAAACCGGTTTCTAGCAATAACGGGCGGGACCTCGAGGAAAGAACTCGTCTGATTGGTCTGTTATTAATGCTCAGATCTTGATTTACAGACAAAATAGTGAAATAAAAATCAGTAATCAGAGTACAAATTATGAGTAACTGTGTTCAGTTACAGTTACTGTTTCAGGGAGTAGTAATTGGATTACAGTTACTTTGTTGAAATAAATGGATCACACGAAGGGATTTTCCTGTTTTCACATTTGGGGCTTTATACCTTTTTTTTTTTTTCTGTAATTAAACTCATTGCCGGAAAATAAACCAGGTCTAAACCAGGACTAAACCAGGAATAAAACCAGGTCTAAACCAGGTTCAAACCAGGTCAAAAAAACAGGTCTAAACTAGGTCTAAACCAGGACTAAAACCAGGACTAAACTAGGTCTAAACCAGGTCTAAACCAGGTCTAAAACCAGGTCTAAAACCAGGTCTAAAACCAGGTCTAACCCAGGTCTTAATCCAGGTCTAAAACCAGGTCTTAAACCAGGTCTAAAACCAGGTCTAAACTAGGTCTAAACCAGGACTAAACCAGGACTAAAACCAGGACTAAACTAGGTCTAAACTAGGTCTAAAACCAGGTCTAAAACCAGGTCTAAAACCAGGTCTAAATCAGGACTAAAAGAGGATTTAACAGGACTATGCTGTGTGGACGTGTTTCTTCTTCTATCAATAATATTTTTAATTTGGTTCAGTAAAGACTTGGCCTTTTATTTTCTTTTATCAGACAAAACATCTTATCTTACGATATCCTCGTCATCGTTTCTCTACAGCAAATCAAGTAATCCAAAGTATTCAGATTACATTACTCACTTTAAGTAATTTAATGGATTATGTTACAAACTACATTCTGGTGTGTGTAATCTGTAATCTGTAATCTGTAGGGGATTACATTTTAAAAGTCACCTTCCCAACACTGACCCCAGGATCATGTAGAGTTGGTTAATACAAACATTTTAAGACCAGAAAGAGACGCCCGACAGCAGCAGATACAGAGAGAGAAGCCCAGTCACTCACCTTTTAAAATGTCAAGGCATATTCTTCCCAGTTTGTCTACATTGGGGTGATAGATTTTGGTCATGAAGCGGACTTTCGGAGCTGCCATGGGGTATTCCTCTGGTAAAAAGAGTTCAAGCTTAAAGGTTCCTCCCTCAAACGGAGAGTCCTGAGGTCCGGCGATCACCACGTGAAAGTAACGCGCGTTGCTCTCATCAGGAAGAGCTTTAATGCCTGGAACCGGCTCTGCCAACAAGCGCTGAGTTTCCTAAAGGGACAAAGAAATAAGAGCAAACATGAAGGACTGAGATTTCCACATCACAGAGTGGAACTGTAGCTCGAGGATTTTTTTTTTTTATTCCTGACTGTTTTGTTGTAAACGGTGCACAAAAAGAGAAGGAACTTTCAGAGGTGAGAGAGTCATCACCAGAGTTAAATGTTCCTCCGCATCAGCAATCTGCTCAAAACAAATACAAGAATTTCCCTTTTAAAAAAGTGGAAGTTGTGGTTTTCTGTGCATCAAAGCAGATGTAACATTTAAATATGAATAAACAGAACAAAACTAAAATAAACTTATGATTCTAACTGTGGAAACTTTCTGACATGTTTCAGATAAACCACAGTCACAGCGGTGCCGTCAAACACAGTAGAGGAGCTCCGGGTTTCGGGCTCCGGGTTTCGGGCTCCGGGTTTCGGGCTCCGGGTTTCGGGCTCCGGGTTTCGGGCTCGGGCTCCGGGGAGCTTCGGGCTCCGGGCTCTGAGCTCCAGACTCCGGCTCTGAGCTCCAGACTCCGGGCTCTGAGCTCCAGACTCCGGGGAGCTCCAGACTCCGGGCTCTGAGCTCCAGACTCCGGGCTCTAAGCTCCAGACTCCGGGCTCTAAGCTCCAGAGAGCTCCAGACTCCGGGCTCTAAGCTCCAGACTCCGGGCTCTAAGCTCCAGACTCCGGGCTCTAAGCTCCAGACTCCGGGCTCTAAGCTCCAGACTCCGGGCTCTAAGCTCCAGACTCCGGGCTCTAAGCTCCAGACTCCGGGCTCTAAGCTCCAGACTCCGGGACTCCGGGCTCTAAGCTCCAGACTCCGGGCTCTCTAAGCTCCCAGACTCCGGGCTCTAAGCTCTCAGCTCCAGACTCCGGGCTCTAAGCTCCAAGCTCCAGACTCCGGGCTCTAAGCTCCAGACTCCGGGTTCCAGACTCCAGACTGATTTTAACTGTGGAAACTTTCTGACATGTTTCAGATGAACCACAGTCACAGCGGTGCCGTCAAAGACAGAAGAGGGGCTCCGGGTTTCGGGCTCCGGGTTTCGGGCTCCGGGTTTCGGGCTCCGGGTTTCGGGCTCCGGGTTTCGGGCTCCGGGTTTCGGGCTCCTGCAGCGTGTCTGTGTCTCTGCGTCTTTCAGCCCTTTTACTGCCTGAAGTCAAAGCTCCTCTGGCCTCAGTCTGACAGGTTTAATGCAAATGTCTCAGATTCGGCTCCTCAGATTCGGCTCCTCAGATTCGGCTCCTCAGATTCGGCTCCTCAGATTCGGCTCCTTTGCTCCTTTGAGTCTTAATCTAAAACCATTTGTGTGAAGAGGACTGAGGTTCCAGAGGTTCCAGAGGCAGGAGAGGTGAGTGTTGGTCTGATCTGCTCGCGGTTCAGTTCCTGAGTCGCGCAGAAAATGCTAACTAGCCGGTTTAGCTTAGCCTGAGTTAGCTCGGGGTTTTAAGCCTCATTCGGGTAATTTACCGTTTTATGAAATGCACCTGGATAATCTGTGCATTATTCATCAGTTAGTAGAAGGATCGGTGTATTTTAGCCCCGAATCCGCCACATCTGAACATAAATAAAGGAAAGTTAATTTAACAAACGAGCGTTAGCATCTCTGTGGCTAACAGTTAGCCTCCAGGACTCGGGCGGTGAACTCAGATCCGCTTAAACTCACAGATTCACAGATGGGCTTTTGATTTGCGAAGGGAAACGTAGAGACGTGTTGTAAAAGGCTGTGGTGTGTTTGTACCTTTATGATCCTGCGAGGCAGACCTGCCATCTTCACTTTAGTTCGGCTCCTTCAGCAGCGCAGACTCACACTGACAGACCCACTGCTTCCGGGTTCCGCACGTCACGTGGTCACGCCAAAGCGCCGCTCCTAAAGTGTGCGTGCGCGCGACCCCGAGCCCTGCGGACTTACGGTAACGTGCATGTGCGCGTGCATGTGCGCGCGTGTGTGTGGTGGGTTATTTACACCAGGGTCTGCAGCCTTTTTCCTCCAGTGAAAAACTTTTACAAAACAAAATGAAGAAACAGAGAGAAGAGAAAAGCGCCGGCCTCAGCAGAGGAACAGAAACTTTTATAATTTTATGAGTGCACAAAGTCAGACATCAAAATCATCACTGTTGGGCAAGTTACTTTGAAACTGTAATGCGTTATTTATTACCTATTACTGTCATTTCAAAGTAATTCGTTACATTACAATATTACTGCATTTAAAATGTAAGGCATTACATTACTATTGCATTACTTTAAGTTACTCTCACCAAAATAACTTTTGCGCTGTATATGGACTGAACCAGGACTAAACCAGGTCTAAACCAGGACTAAACCAGAAGTGAACTAGGACTAAACCAGAACTGAACTAGGACTAAAACAGGACTCACTGTCAGGGACGGGCTCGAAGGTGACGCAGGAGAAAGGAGCGGCTCTGCTCCGCACCTCACGGAGGTAAGAGCGGCTGTCGCCCGATCGCTCTTTATGGACCCTGCTGCTCAGGCTCGCGGCCCTGATTTCAGCAACTATTTGCAGGTACAAGACCCGGACTCTGCTACAGCGCGTACTTCTACCTTCCTTCAGCGTGTCCAGAAGTCCAACGATGGTTTGCATCGTCCTCTGTCTTTTGGGTGTGAGCGCAGGAGCCTTTGTCGGTGCAGAAACGTTTCGTCGACGTTGTGGGTTTTCGTCGGGAGAGAAAACTTGCAACCGTACAGCACTTCAGAATCACACTGATACAGATTGAACATGTATTTAAATTTGGCAGCTGAACACATTCTGTACTGTACAGGAGACAGGAGTCCCTCAGCCAATCAGGACGCAGCGGGAGGAACACAATACACATTCATACAATGTGAAAAAAAAAAAGGCATGCAAAATTGCACACAAAAAACAAAAATCTGCGAGACCGCGAAAAGTGAACTGCGATAGAGGGAGGGACGAGTGTAAACCAGGTCTAAACCAGAACTGACCCAGGTCTAAACCAGGTCTAAACAGTGTGGAGTTCTTTGTCAGTCCTTTCGCCCGCGGTTACCTGAAGGTCTACGAGGAGCATCTCCAGCGTTTCACCGCTGCTGATATCGAGGTGATTTTAGCGAATTTGTATGAAGAAAAAAACACCACTTCAATCCAGGTTAAAAAACAAACAAACATTGTAACGCGCGTTACTCACATTTGTACCGAGTAAAATATTACTATTTTTTCCCCTGTAATGCCGAACATTACTGCGTTACAGCAAAAAGTAATGCATTACTGTAATTCGTTACTTTTATAACGCGTTACTCCCAACACTGAAAATCATACATGTACAATATTAATACACATTTAATTAGTCAATTTAGACATATTCAGCACAATCTGTGTAATTGAAATGTCTTGGTGAGCTTCTTGTCAGGGGGCGGAGAGCTGAGACCCCTGATATAAACAGTCTGTGATACACAGTAACAGATCACATGTAGTGGAGTTATAATTTAGTTATAGTTATATATACCCACTCATTGCCAGAAACTAAACCAGGTCTAAACTAGATCTAAACAGGACTAAACCAGGACTACAACAGGATCTAACAGGATTTAACAGGTCTAAATCATGCTGCGTGGACGTGTCTCTTCTTCTATCAATAATATTTTTAATACAGTTCAGTAAAGTCTGGCCTTTTTATTTTCTTTTAGCAAAGAAAATATCTCATGTTACGATATACGATAAGTAATTTAATGGATTTCGTTACAAACTACATTTTGGGGTCTATAATCTGTAATCTGTAACGGAATACATTTTAAAAGTCACCTTCCCAACACAGACTGTATAAATAAACATCTTCCATCAAACACAGGCTCTGCTACAGGAGCTGAAGTGGTTAATATCTTATATGAATGACCTAATAATAAATTCACAGATGCTAAATTCTAGATATAAGTGCTTGAAATCAGTCTGACATAACAGACGTTCATCCACTCATATTAATCATAAACTAAATTTAAGTGTGTTTGATCTAGAATTTAGCAGAATTTACAGTATTTTATTTTTGAATTTGGCGTCTGAGAACTTATTTTCAGGCCATGAACACTAATCACAAACTGGTTTTAAGTCTGTTTATTTAAAACTTAACATTAATAAACTTATTTCCAGCCCGTAAACACTTAACACAGATGCCTCATTCTCGTCTAGAGGTCGTTTATTTTAAGGGAACTTGCCAAGTAAAATGATCTTGCTGCGTGGACAGATCATTTCAATACTTTTATGTCCAATTTCTGGTAGATTTAAGTGTTTATGTCTTACATTTTGGCCAAGCTTTTTTACAGTGTGAAGTGTTGCAGAGAAAACTAGGGTAAATGGGAAGTGGCTTATTTTAAACATTTATTGCCTCAATTTAAGATTTTCTGACTAGCTGAGTCATGGAAGAAATATATGTGACAAATTTTAAGATTTAAGAACCAATTCCGAAATCAAAACAGTAGATCATAAATCTGAAAACGAGATGAAAAACCTGATATAAGTTTTAAAATCTTGGCCAGATCAGAGAAATGTGGTCCCGGTCAAGCAGAAGTAAACAACAAGGCCAAAAATTCAAGTTAATTCATCTGATATAAAAATGTATTGAACAGATACATATGTACTCTAGTTTATCAAACTGTTGACCTTTTTTCTGTACCATTTTTGGTTCTAAAGTTCCATACGTTTTAAACAGACCATGTATGAAACATGGAACAAAAATTATTTCCCAAATTTCAAAGACCTGAAAATCATGTATTTCATCATATCTTGTGTTATTCGATCTTTAAACTGTTGATGAAGGTATAGGATTTAAAAAAAAACGTATTTAAAATGATAAAAATTTGCTTGGAAGGACTGACATATTTTATAGAAATAGTTTCCTTTCATTTTGAAGTAATATGAAAGTATTCAGAAGAAAAAAGTGACAAATGATGTAAAATCCTGCACCTTCTACTTGTTTGTACAATTTTCCCTCCGTTACTTTTCCCTCCGTTACCATGAACTTTCTTAATAAAAAATCTCATGAGTCAAAAAGTAAGAGGTTTTTCAACCTAATCTTGTACCATATGGTAGAAAACTATATGAAGCAAAAATATTCAAACCAGTTTGTTAAGGATATGGAAGTGAGAACCAAGAGTTATCACTTTTTGGATTTATTGACCAAAATGTGCTGCATATTTCATTCCCTCCGTTACCGACATGAGTTTTTACATTTTTTGTCAACAACTTGAAAGAATCTCACAGGTTTAACTTGACCCTGTTGGAGTGTAACTCTTTCCTACATTCTGATACTTTACTTATTTCAATAGTTCCTCTAGTTTCTGAATAAGAGACATTTGAATGTCAAAAATCTGCCCCTGTTTCCCTCCGTTACCACTTGACCCATGTGCAGTGTGCTGGATCTTCTCCACAGTTCTACAGAAGCTTCTGGAACAAACAGAGGAACTAGAGCCTCCGCAGACTCTCACACAGACGTACGTCCACTTCCGGGTGCTGCAGGCCAAAGTCACGAATGTCAAGTCTCACCAGGGATCAGGCGAAAAAAAACAAAAACACACACACACTTGGACACTAATGTTCTGTCTGATTTTACACACAACCAGAAGCTCAAATGCTGTGTTTAAATGATTTATTCATACAACTAATTTCTTACATTTACTGCGAAAATCCACAAACAGACCTTTATTACACATTTATTACACATTTATTACACATTTAATTATATGAAATAACAGACAGGAGTTATTATTATTCATGGAGTTCTGAGGGTAACATGGACAAATTTAAAACCCTAGAGTGTGACTGACCCCAGTTTGTGACAGACCCTAGAGTGTGACTGACCCTAGAGCAGGGGTGGGCAAACTGCGGCCCTTTAAACCTTTTAATCCGGCCGCCGAACTGGAATAAATTACAATAATAAACCTTGTTGATGTTTTATTTTTCCTGCATTTCCGGCGTTTCCCAGTAGATGGCGCACTATATATACATTAAGGTGCGACGTATTATGTTGGCCGCAATGCTTTATGGGAAAGTGTTCTTACAGGAGATATTCGGACCATGAGTGAAGTAGAAGTGTTCAAGACAAAGGCTGCACTGCTTCCATTTTAATTTGGTAGAAGTTAAACATGGAAGATTTGTAGACTCTAAAGGGCCGTTCACACCAAGGTGTCAAAGCGTCCAGTTTCAATGTAAAGTCTACGTGGACGCGCGACTAGAGCGTCCTGCCTTTTTGCGGCGCGTCTTCAGCGTCAGCGCGGCGCGAATCTGGCGTCAGCGCGGCGCGTCTTCAGGGTTTTGGCGTCAGCGGCCAAGACGCGCGTCCAAGGCGTCAGCGTCAAGAAGTTGAAAATGCTGAACTTTTCGCGTCAGACGCGCCGCGTCGACCAATCAGGGACGAGTATCCAGTGACGCAGCGATGTTATTATCAGAAAGCAAGACCCGAGAACCAGAACGAGAACCACAAACATGAACGGAGCATAAAAATATACGCCACAATCACCGAGCCGATCGCGAGGACTACACCAGGAACGGACCAGGACTAAACCAGGACTAGACCGGGACTAAACAAGGACTAGACCGAGACTAGACCGAGACTAAACAAGGACTAGACCGGGACTAGACCGTGATTAGACCAGGACTAGACCGGAACTAGACCGTGATTAGACCAGGACTAGACCGGGACTAGACCGTGATTAGACCAGGACCAGACCGGTATTAGACCAGGACTAGACCGGGACTGATCCAGTGTCATTAGTGGAGTATAAATATATATACGCCCCAGTCGTCGACCCGATCTCCGCCGTTGATGTTTTATGTCATAAAAACACTCAAGTCTCTCTCAGTCTGGTCTGACATTGTTTCGGGAAAAGAGCGGGACCGGGCTCTTGTTTCCAGGGCAACGGACGCGCGTCAAGTATTTTTGTCCCGTTCGTCCACGGCGTCAAAGATGCGCGTCGGGGGCGTCTAAACTCAAATGCAAAGGCGTCCAAATAGAGGCGTCAAGGCGTTTTTATGACGCCTTGGTGTGAACGGCCCTTTAGAGTTTGGTTTTACTGCATGTGCATGTGCAGGTGTGTTCGTGTGTGACTGTGTGACTGTGTGACTGTGTGGCGTGAGCTCTGTGTTCGAATTGTTTCTCAGTTAGACTCGAGAACGGTTCGCTCATGATGTACATTCGCCTGTGGTGTTCAGTGAAACAGATCTAAACACTTTAATGTGTTCTGAATCTTTCGTGGCAATGTTGTAGCGTGTAGTGCGCGTCCTACATAAGCGTAAATACAAATGTAATGAAGCCGAGCTCTTAACACGTTATGTCCGTTCTTCTGTCCAGACCTTCAGTCAAATTTTAGGACCCTATGTGGCCCGTGAGCCAAAAAGTTTACACACCCCTGCCCTAGAGTGTGACTGACCCCAGAGTGTGACTGACCCCAGAGTGTGACTGACCCTAGGGTGTGACTAAACATATCAGAAGATGTAACAAGATTAAAGTCATTCTGTATTTACACAAATGTATTAAACATCCAGGAGCTCACTGATCTCACATGGATCTGACTTGGTCTAAGTCCGGGTCTCACATGGATCTGCCCCGGTGTAACTCCAGGTCGTCTGAGGTCCTCTCTCTAGCGCCCCTTCTGGCCCGGGCCTGAAAGGACACAGCACATCCACAGGTCACAAAACTCTGGGTGTTTGTCAGTCCTCAGGATCCTTCCTCCACAGACGTCTTTGTAGGTCTCGTCTGGAGTCGGCTCCTCCGACGCAGAACCAAGTGTCCTGCTCACTCTGAGCTGACGCTAAACTCACGCTCACACTCATGATTGTGTCAGGACTTTATTTGATTAAAATACAATTTACTGATTCAATAAAGTTTGTGAAACATGAAAGTTGCAGTGCACTGTGGTCAAGTCTAAACCAGGTCTAAACCAGGACTAAACTAAGACTAAACCAGGTCTACAACAGGACTAAACCAAGACTAAACCAGGTCAGTACCTTGCAGTAGTAGTACATTGGGAGGGTGAACAGGAGCATCAACAGAAGAATCACCACGGCTCTGATGATCAGGTCTGAGTCTGACTCTGCAACACAAAAGAACCCAGATCAGACCAGGACCCAAACCCAAGCCCCAAAACCAAGCCCCCCAAAACCCTGTTACCATGGTTACGGCCATTGCCCGATTTGTCCCTTTTTAACATAATGAGTAACTCTTAACTGTTTTTCTCCTACAGCTGTGCTCTTCTGGTGATGAAGATGTTTCAACTCCAGACATTTTCATTTGATGGAGCTGTTAGAAACACTGGGAATTCACCCTCCTCTGAGTAACTAAGTCCAGCCCAGAGGAGGAGTTTCAGAGTGAACCTGCCTCGTTTACAGCCAACAGCATTATGGATCATTCTGTCCCTGTTACATTTGATTGGCCTGTTGTGGTCTTTGTCCATGTCTTGAGAACACTTCTCTGGAGTCCAGGTCTGACCCCCATTTGCAGGTGAGTCTGGGTCTGTCTGCGCAGAGTCAAACAATGATAACCCCTAACCCCTGACCCTCACATGACCCTGTGACCCCTGACCCTCACATGACCCTGTGACCCCTGACCTCACATGACCCTGTGACCCCTGACCCTCACATGACCCTGTGACCCCTGACCCTCACATGACCCTGTGACCCCTGACCCTCACATGAGTGTGTATCTGGACGTACCTCCCACAGAGAGCTGGAGTGTGTGGCTCTGAGAGGAGAAGTTGTGGTCAGACACCTGCAGGAGGTAAACACAGGTGTAGTTTCCTTTGTGGGCGGGGCCAGCGTCAGAGAACAGGAAGTGGGCGGAGTGATTGACGGCGGGCAGGGTGCAGTTCTGAGCGGGGGGCGCGGCGGGAGAGAGGAGCCGGAAGGAGCCTCCCGGGTACTGTGGCTCCACGGAGCATTTGACCCTGAACTTTGAGCCCAGCTGCACCTGCACCCCCTGAGGCTGGAGCTCGGACGCCCCGTCACTCACAGACACGGAGATGATTGGACGATTCAGGACCAAGTCTGTGGAGACACGTGATTGGACAGATCAGTCTCTGTGTGTGTGTGTTACACTCCTCTGGAGGAACTAGAAAAAACATCAGAGACATAAAACTGTAAGATCAGACTTTTACCTGAACACATCACCTCCAGACCGTGTGAGGAGGAGGATGAACCAAAAACACATTCTCTCACTGAAGACTTTTTCACACAAACAGACTTGACCTCCCACACACGACTCTGTGGAAAATCCGATCTCTTTTCTCTATGAACAGCAGAGCCACAGTCCAGGTCTCTGCACACAACATCTGTGTCCTCCTGGTCCCAGTCTCCATTGGGCTGCACTCGTCTCCACTCTCCTCTGTGTTTCACCTCCACAGTCCCAGCACAGCGACTGGCTCCTCCCACCAACCTGAGAGGCTCTGAACAGACAAGAGACAGAGTGAAGTCCCGCCCCTTTACCTGAGCAGTGAAGCCCCGCCCCTTTACCTGAGCAGTGAGGCCCCGCCCCTTTACCTGAGCAGGTGAGGTTGACAGTGGCTCCAGAGGAGCAGGTGCTTGAGTTGGAGCGGGGACAGTCCATCAGAGCAGACTCATGGCCCTCACAGTGGAACGTCTGCCCCAGAGGAGAGAGCGCCCCCTGGAGGAGAGAAGGAGCCCCACAGTCCAGCTCCCTGCACAGCACCTCTGCCCCCCGCTGGTCCAAGTCCCCGTCACAGACCCCGGTCCAGGACCCATCCCAGATCTGCACTGATCCTGAACACAGACCGGACCCCGAGACCAACCGCACAGAGTCTGTGGACACACACAGGTTTTCTGTGTTTCCAGAGAATCAACAAAGAGAAGCATGAGACAGAGGAGTGTGTGTGTGTGTGTTACACTCCTCTGGAGCAACTAGAAAAAACATCTGAGACACAAAAAAATGTAAGATCAGACTTTTACCTGAACACTTCACCTCCAGACCCCAGGAAGAGGAGAATGAATCAGAGACACATTCTCTCACTGAAGACTTCTTCACACAGTCGGATGTGACCCTCCACACACGACTCTGTGGAAAACCAGATTTTTCTTCTCCATAAACAGCAGAGCCACAGTCCAGGTCTCTGCACAAAGCAGTTGTGTCCTCCTGGTACCAGTCTCCATAGCGCTCCTCCACTCGTCTCCACTCTCCAATGAGTCTCAGCTCCACAGTCCCAGCACAGCGACTGGCTCCTCCCACCAACCTGAGCGGCTCTGAACAGACAAGAGACAGAGTGAAGCCCCGCCCCTTTACCTGAACATTTTCTGAGTTAGTGGAGCAGATTAGTGAAAAAATTGTTCACTTTGGTATAAAAATCATTAAATTTGGCACAGATCCTCTCTAAGGATCACTATTTTGGAAAAAGGCATTGGCCACTCAAGATGGCCACCATTGTAATTAAATGGTTATTATATAAATGATTCAAAAGTGATCCAAGCATAACATTTGATATAAATACTCTCTAAAGGACATGATAATGCAAAAAGATGCTTGTCACAAATTCAAGACGGCCACCATTTTAAAAATGACCACTGTTCCTGTGTAGAATATTAATTATTTCAATCTGTGGCCATACCAGTTTGTCAAAGCCTGATCTTGTCAAGTCTCAGAAGCTCTGGGATCTGACGGGGTGCAGTCACCAGGACTGGGCCTGGTTAGTTCTTATATGGGAGATGCTGATTGGGCGCTCGTCATAAAAAACTGTTTACGTTGTGTCCTTAGACAAGACACTTCACCCACATTGCCTAGTGGTGTGTGTGAGTGATGGTGGTGGTCAGAGGGACGATGGCTCCGATTGGCATGGCAGCCACGCTTCTGTCAGTCTGCCCCAGGGCAGATGTGGCTACAAACGCAGGTTATCACCACTGGGTCTGGACTGAATAATGCTCTGTAAAGCGTCTTTGTGACAAATGTCTGTGAAAAGCACTATATAAATAAAAAATACTTACTAATTGTTCAAATGGTGATGCAAACATAAAATCAGGCAAAAATAATTTTCCTTCTCAAAGTAGCTTCTAGACCACCACTTTCATCGAGTTGTTCCAGGTCCAGGGTCATTGGCATTTTGTTGATCTTGTGAGAGAGCGGAATGTTGGTGGAAATGATTTTAGAGCCGTCATGTTCAGAAACATGATGGTAGACGGTGATTGGAGGGGTTCCTTTGTGTCTTTCTGACACAGTTGTATGATTAAGGCCAATGGTTTATCCTTTTACCACCTCAATTTTAGACATATTACACATTTATGTTTGGGAAACTAGTTTCGGGTCACTTACACCTCACCCAATCATTCATCCAGTGCCTTTTAAGTCCTGTGTGGTCTGTTCACCTTCCGGATAAGCACATGAACAAGTCATGTATTGTCTTGCTTACCCTCGGCTCTCAGTTCAGCTCATTTATCTCAGAGTCGTGCACTGGATACCCAACAGGTACATGCAAATAGGTGCTGAAACGGGTGGGTTTTAACATTCTGGAGTTTTATGGGCAGGTATGTGGGCGGGTAGCGATTACATATGGGCGGGTCAGATGAATCAAGTGGACGATGAACGGGAGAAAAATATTTGACCATTGCGTCCGTTGCCAGTGTCATTTCCCGTCTTTTACCGGAACGATGACAGACCAGGCTGAGAGAGACTTTATTGTTTTATTACATGAAACCATCAGTGAAGTTCGATCGGCTCAACAGCTGCACTCCTGGTTTATTCCTCTTTTAGACCTGGTCCAGTCCTGATGTAGTCCTGGCAATCAACTCGGCAGTTGCAGCGTGTATCACACTGGTTTAGTTCTGGTTTAGACCTGGGTTTAGACCTGGGTTTAGACTTGGTTCAGTCCTGGTTTAGTCCTGGTCCAGTCCTGGTCCAGTCCTGGTGTAAGTCCTGGTGATCAGCTCTGCAGTTTGTGGCGTGTGTATATTTATATTCCGCTAATGACACGGTGCAGGTTCAGTCCTGGTTTAGTCCTGGACTACTGGCCTGTCGGACTAATGGGCTGATTTAACTTTAATATAATCACTGGTTAATGGGCCCCCTCTTATTTTCTCTATACATTAATGACCTTCCGGACATTTGTAAAGATGTGGATATACAACTTTATGCAGACGATGCAGTGCTCTTCACAAGTGGGAAAAATTTTAAAGAAGTATCTCAGATTCTCACATCAGCATTAACACATGTTGAGAAATGGCTCATCAGGTCCTGTCTCCTGTTAAACACACAAAAAACTGTGTGTATGTTTTTTTCTAAAAATAAAAATAAAAATAAGGTAACTAGGTCAAATGTGTATTTCAAAAGTCAAGAATTGAAATTAGTGAAGGAGTTCAAATATCTGGGAGTAATGTTGGACTCTGCACTTACATTCAAAAACCATGTTAAAATGGTGTCTAGAATAATCAAATACAATCTATACAATTTCAATCAAATACGCAGGTCATTAACTAATGAAGCTGCAATGATGTTTTTACATTGTATGATTTTTTCTCACATTAGTTATTGTATAACCAGTTGGTCTTTGTCAGGTGTATCAACTCTTAAGCCAATAGAATCCCTCTACAAAAAAGCTTTGAAAATATTAGACAAGAAACCCTTTACTTACCATAGTTGCAATGTGCTCTCCAAATACAATCTATTGAGCTTCCAGAATTTTATAAAATTTAGAAATGCCTGTTTGATGCATAAAACTTTGCACGGTTTAGCTCCACCTCCACTCAGTGATTATATCAGGTATAGGTCAAGTGTTTCATGTCGCTCCTCCAGGGCCACAGACAGAGGAGACTGTGAGGTGCCTGATAGAAAAACCTCTTTCAGTCAAAATGTGTTTTCATATAAGGGCAGTGTTGTGTGGAACAGTTTACCACCCACAGTTAGAGACTCCCCCAGCTTTACGACTTTTAAAGGCCATTTAAAGACATGGCTCAGGTCAACACAGGTGTGTGATCATTTAATATAGTTTACAATGTGCAATGGGCAAAGTGCAATATGCTATTTATTAAGTATTTTAATATTTAAATTACGGGCAATATGTAATATACTAAAGAATTTTACCTTCGAGGGCACGTGCAATACATTGTAGAAAAGCACTTTATAGTAATTTTAGCAATGGGCTGTGTGCAATATCTATACACTGGCATCTTAACTAAACAAGGCAGCGTGCAATTTTGATCAAATAATACAGCATCCTTTGCTTGACCTGTGTCTGTGATCTTGTGACTGACCAGCTCTTTGTGTCTGTCTATTTGTATTACTGTATTGTCTGTCGGGGTGTATTGTTTTTACTGTGCATTTAGTTTTATGATTACATCAACCTGCCTAGGGACAGCAGATCTGATAACATATTTACATATCATGTATATGTTCATTAATGTGTTTTGTCCCTATTTTTTTTTTTAATAAATAAATAAATAAAATAAAAAGTGTGGTGCTGGACTGAGTGGGTGCGGGCGGGTGCTGGTCCCAAACATGGACTCGTGCAGGACTCTGATCTAACTACATATATTTCTTACTAACTGACAAGGGGCTGATGGATTTGGGACAATAAATTTACCTAAACTATTACTACTAGTCAAGAACTACAGTGTGAATCAACCTAGACGAGAGACACTGAGGCCCAGGCTGAGTTTCACAGCGGTGAAGTCTCCAGAGTCCTGCTCGTGTCATGACGTTCACTCGATTAAACCAAACCTTCCTGAACACATTAAACTGAGCTCTGACAGAAATGGTGACATCTTGAGTTTTTGAGTGGCACACACCTTTTTCCATGAGAATGTTCCTTGAAGAATCTTTGTACCAATCTTGATGACTGCATCACCATGTGTTAAATTTAAGATTTAAGATTTAAGAGAAATGGCGACCATCTTGAAAAATGCTGGTGGTCATGTTAATTTTTTGAGGAACAAGCTCCATTCTCCAAAAAAACATTAACAGAGTATTTTCACAAAATGTTCTGCCTACATCACAGTTTGAACACTCGACATAATGAGCATTTGACAGAAATAGCGGCCATCTTGAAAAAATGGCTGCCATTTAGAATTTTTGATTTTTTCCCATGTGACCCTCAGAGAATCTGAGCCAAATTTCATGCTTTTAGACCAAAGTGAACGATTCTCTTGAAATATGCAATGAATCTGCTGCACTAAGTAACTTTCCACTGAATCAGCAAAGACAGTGAAGTCATGTAAATGTGTTTGTGATGTTTGAGCGGCGGCTCTCTGACTCTGATGTCAGAAAGTGTTTATCTTGTGTCGTCCCTCTCACCAGGAGGTTGTGGGTTAGACTCCTGATGTGTGTGAGTGGAGTGTGCATGTGCTCCCTGTGTTACTGTGGCAGAGTGGTTAGCCTGGTGTGTGAGTGTCTTTACCTGAGCTCTTGTCTTCTGCCAGGACCCCTGCACACACAAGAGACATGTCACATAATGTGGTGTGACCCAGAGCGTCACACAAAATGTTGCGTGTTGGTAGATTTTATGGTATATTTAAGTGTATATTTTATCATTTTGTATTTGCCCCTTGAAAAGTACTTTGGTAAAAACACTTTTCTGCATTTAAAACCCGGGACGCCTTAAAAAAGTCATTTGGTGCAACGGACATATAGTTAAAATTAAATTAAAAATAATTTATATTATTGAAAATGATAAAAAACATAAACTGAGATCTACAAATGAACAGCAAGACTTTACATATGTTTTTTTTCCCTAAAGTTTTGAAGATTTTTACAATGTGCCCCAATACAGCATTAACTCTGAACTCTGGGGGCATTTTTTCTTTTCATAAAAAAGTTAAACGCTTCAAAAGTTTTAAGTAATTTAAGTAATTTAAGTTAAAAAAACAAAAAACAAAACAGGTCTAAACCAGGTCTAAACCAGGACTAAACCAGGACTAAACCAGGTCTAAACCAGGACTAAACCAGGACGGAACGAGGACAGAACCAGGACTGAAAATGGCAATAACACTTGTGGTCTCTGCATTTGACACATTCAAAGAGCAGAAGTGTAGGTGGTTTTACATCCTGTTTGGTTTCACCTGCTCACGGGACTAATGCGAACAGTGTGGCTAAAGTTCAATTGTCACCACACGTGTGTTTTAAACCTGTATTAGTCCAGATCCAGTCTTGTTTGAAACTTACTTTAGTCCAGCTTTAAACCTGCATTAATCCAGGTTTAAACCTGGTTCTGACTGGGACCAAAAAATGGCCCTGGACTTCCCCCACAAATCGACCCCACGGTTGGACGACCGTCCTGGACTTTTCCAGAATGCCCAGACTGTCAGTGCAGCCCTGGTCCTGTCTTGTTTTTGTCCTGTTCAAGATTCAACATATTATTGTAAATGTCATAGAAAAATAAAGAAATAATGTCCAGGTTCAGTCCATTTTAACCTGGACTAAACCAAGTCTGAAAATGTCAGTAAAACTTGTTATCTCCTTTCACACATTTTCAGTGCAGGAAATGCAGACAATGTGTTATTTTGGTCTTTCACTCTCGTGCGCTTCACTTTTACACGTTTCTTATTGTCTCCAAGGAGAATTCTTTTTCACAGACACTGTGAAAACAAACACACAGATACAAACAGTAAAGACAAACACACAGATACAAACAGTAAAGACAAACACACAGATACAAACAGTAAAGACAAACACACAGATACAAACAGTAAAGACAAACACACAGATACAAACAGTAAAGCCAAACGACAGAGGACAGGAGCTCACACATGCAGACGACGATCTAGACTCCAGACTGATACTACTACTACTACTGAACTACTACTGAACTACTACTACTACTACTACTACTACTACTACTACTACTACTACTACTACTGCTACTACTACTACTACTACTACTGCTACTACTACTACTACTACTACTACTACTACTACTACTACTACTACTACTACTACTGTACTACTACTACTACTACTACTACTACTACTACTGCTACTACTGCTACAACAGCCACTATTACTGCTACTATGACTACTACTTCATCTACTTCTAGTACTGCTGCTACTGCTACCACTAATACTACTTCTACTATTAAAACACACACTGCTACTGCTACTGCTACTACTACAACTACTACTTCAACTACTACTTCAACTACTACTAATACAACCACCACTTCTACTACTACTGCTACTACTACTACAACTGATACTACTACTACTACTACTGCTACTACTACTGCTACTACTACTACTACAACTGATACTACTACTACTACTACTGCTGCTACTACTACTACTACTGTTGTTTAATGTTCTGGTGTGTTCTCAGAGTGACTGTTGTCGCCCTCTGGTGGTGGTTTAACAGAACGCAGTTTTCACATTAGAAACATCTGGAAGTTTAAATCAAGGATCTATAATAACATTTTATTCTACTTCCATATAAATGCAGTGGAAACATGATCATGGTGCATTTCTGCTCCGTCCACTGAAAAACAACGACAAAGTGTGTTTTGTTTAGAGCTTGTGACTCACTAGAAGAACACAGAGCGTGACCAGATTTTCAAAATAAAAAAAAAGTGAAGTTCCTGGTTTGTCGATACAGCAGCCCATGATATCAATACTGTATCTAATTAAATCAAATTAAAAAATCAATATTTCAATATTTTTTGCACACTACCAGCTGAGGGCCACAAGAGATTTTTTATTACAAATTTTTCTATTTTATTTGACTTGTACATTTACATTTATATAATTTTGCCTGATTTGACTCCAGTCTCTTGCACTTTTTTGTTTTTTATTTAGAATTTATTATTACCGTTTATATTTTTACTCTTTGTTATTATATTCTATCGTGATGTTTGAGGCTTCTGGGTCCAAATAATTTTCCTTGTGGATCAATAAAGTTTCTCAAAGTTTTATAGGGCAGAGACAGAGAGGGCCAGCAGAGGGCGCTGTGCGGACAGAGACAGTTGTATGTGTTATTTTTTAAGTGTTTTTTATTTACTCCTATTATTTAATTATTATTCTTTACTTCATCCTGTCAGTGGTATTAGAACATTATCGATTTTTGTGATTGCCCATTGTGTCTTGTATATTCAAAGTTACTTTGAAAAAAAAAAAAAAAAAAAAAGGTACAGGTTGAAAGAACGACAAATGACATAAACGACATAATAAGTATATGTAATTCACAGACTTCCTTTATTTAGAGAATGTTTGATTAAAAACCCTCTGTTCACTGTGGGAAAAAGAGGGCAGAGACAGGGAGGACCAGCAGAGGGCGCTGTGTGTACAGACCATGGATCTTTAATAAAAACTATAACTATAAATTATTATTATTATTATTATTATTATGATTATTATATTATCTTTTTATTTATTATTTTATTTTATCATTATTTTTATTTTTACTTTTTATAAAAATGTTAGTTTGATGATAGATGTTTAAGCAGAGGACACTGTGCGGGAAAAGACCATGGATTGATTTTATGTATTATTTTGTTGTTTATTATTTATTATTTTTCATTATTATAATATATTATAAATTATATATTTTTTATTATTATTATTTTTTTTTTACTTTTTAAAAAATCTAGTTCTATTGTAGAGACAGGGAGATCCACCAGAGGGCGCTGCACAGACCATGAATTTTTAACAACAAACTTTTATTATTACTATTACTATTACTATTACTATTACTATTACTATTATTTTTTATTATTGTATATTTTTTTGTATTTAATTTTTATTTTTAATTTTTTATATATTTTTTATTTACTTTGAAAATCCACAAACAGACCTTTATTACACATTTATTACACATTTAATTATATGAAATAACAGACAAGAGTTATTATTATTCATGGACAAATTTAAAACCTTAGAGTGTGACTGACCCCAGAGTGTGACTGACCCCACAATGTGACTGACCCTAGAGTGTGACTGACCTAGAGTGTGACTGACCCCACAATGTGACTGACCCTAGAGTGTGACTGACCCTAGAGTGTGACTGAATCTAGAGTGTGACTGACCCCACAATGTGACTGACGCTAGGGTGTGACTGACCCTAGAGTATGATTGACCCCACAATGTGACTGACCCTAGGGTGTGACTGACCCTAGAGTGTGACTGACCCTAGAGTGTGACTGACCCTAGAGTGTGACTGAATCTAGAGTATGATTGACCCCACAATGTGACTGACCCTAGGGTGTGACTGATCCTAGAGTGTGACTGACCCTAGAGTGTGTCTGACCCTAGGGTGTGACTGACCCTAGGGTGTGACTGAATCTAGGGTGTGACTGAATCTAGAGTGTGACTGACCCTAGAGTGTGACTGACCCTAGGGTGTGACTGAATCTAGGGTGTGACTGATCCTAGAGTGTGACTGACCCTAGAGTGTGTCTGACCCTAGGGTGTGACTGACCCTAGGGTGTGACTGAATCTAGAGTGTGACTGACCCCACCTAAGTGTGACTGACCCTAGAGTGTGACTGACCCTAGAGTGTGACTGACCCTAGAGTGTGACTGACCCTAGAGTGTGACTGAATCTAGAGTGTGACTGACCCCACAATGTGACTGACGCTAGGGTGTGACTGACCCTAGAGTATGATTGACCCCACAATGTGACTGACCCTAGGGTGTGACTGACCCTAGAGTGTGACTGACCCTAGAGTATGACTGACCGCACAATGTGACTGACCCTAGGGTGTGAGTAAACATATCAGAAGATGTAAAATGATTAAAGTCATTCTGTATTTACACAAATGTATTAAACATCCAGGAGCTCACAGGTCTCACATGGATCTGAACCAGTCTAAATCGGGTCTCACATGGATCTGACCCGGTCTAAGTCCGGGTCTCACATGGATCTGACCCGGTCTAAGTCCGGGTCTCACATGGATCTGACCCGGTGTAACTCCAGGTCGTCTGAGGTCCTCTCTCTAGCGCCCCTTCTGGCCCGGGCCTGAAAGGACACAGCACATCCACAGGTCACAAAATCTCTGTGTGTTTGTCAGTCCTCAGGATCCTTCCTCCACAGACGTCTTTGTAGGTCTCCTCTGGAGTCGGCTCCTCCGACGCAGAGCCAAGTGTCCTGCTCACTCTGAGCTGACGCTAAACTCACGCTCACACTCATGATTGTGTCAGGACTTTATTTGATTAAAATGCACTTTACTGATCTAAACCAGGTCTAAACCAGGTCTATATGAGGTCTATACCAGGTCTAAACCAGGACTAAACCAGGTCTACAACAGGACTAAACCAAGACTAAACCAGGTCAGTACCTTGCAGTAGTAGTACATTGGGAGGGTGAACAGGAGCATCAACAGAAGAATCACCACGACTCTGATGATCAGGTCTGAGTCTGACTCTGCAACACAAAAGAACCCAGATCAGACCAGGACCCAAACCCAAGCCCCAAATCCAAACCCCCAAAACCCTGTTACTGTGGTTACTGCCATTGCCCGATTTGTCCCTTAACTCTTTATATAGTTTTTCTCCTGTTTCAGTGTGGAGAAGGTTTCAGTCGTGCTCATCTGGACTCTGTTTTTGTGATGAAGATGTTTCAGCTCTAGACATTTTCATTTGATGGAGCTGTTAGAAGCACTAGTTCTCCTCTGAGTAACTAAGTCCAGCCCAGAGGAGGAGTTTCAGAGTGAACCTGCCTCGTTTACAGCCAACAGCATTATGGATCATTCTGTCCTGAAACCAGGCAGGTTCACTCTGAAACTCCTCCTCTGGGCTGGACTTAGTTACTCAGAGGAGGATGAATTCCCAGTGTTTCTAACAGCTCCATCAAATGAAAATGTCTGGAGCTGAAACATCTCCATCACAAAAACAGAGTCCAGATGAGTACGGCTGAAACCTTCTCCACACTGAAACACTACTGGACTCCTGGTATGTGTGTGTTACACTCCTCTGGAGCAACTAGAAAAAAACATCTGAGACATAAAAATGTAAGATCAGACTTTTACCTGAACACTTCACCTGCAGACCATCTGAGGAGGAGGATGAACCAGAGACACATTCCTCTCACTGAAGACTTTTTCACACAGTCAGATGTGACCTCCCACACACGACTCTCTGGAAAATCTCCCTGTTCTCCATAAACAGCAGAGCCACAGTCCAGGTGTCTGCACACAGCATCTGTGGCCTCCTGGTCCCAGAGATGAGAGGAATCCACCACTCGTCTCCACTCTCCTCTGTGTTTCACCTCCACAGTCCCAGCACAACGACTGGCTCCTCCCACCAGCCTGAGAGGCTCTGAACAGACAAGAGACAGAGTGAAGCCCCGCCCCTTTACCTGAGCAGTGAAGCCCCGCCCCTTTACCTGAGCAGGTGAGGTTGACAGTGGCTCCAGAGGAGCAGGTGCTTGAGTTGGAGCGGGGACAGTCCATCAGAGCAGACTCATGGCCCTCACAGTGGAACGTCTGCCCCAGAGGAGAGAGCGCCCCCTGGAGGAGAGAAGGAGCCCCACAGTCCAGCTCCCTGCACAGCACCTCTGCCCCCCGCTGGTCCAAGTCCCCGTCACAGACCCCGGTCCAGGACCCGTCCCAGATCTGCACTGATCCTGAACACAGACTGGACCCCGAGACCAACCGCACCGAGTCTGTGGACACACACAGGTTTTCTGTGTCTCCAGAGAATCAACAAAGAGAAGCATGAGACAGTCACACACACGTGTGTCGCTGTTGAACGTGTGGGAGCTGTTCTGTTTTCCTGTTGCCCATGAAGTGCTCCTCTTTTTGCTTGGCCTTTAGTTATATTATAATATGACAGCCTCTTTGCTGCTGCTGTAATGGTGCGGGGCGCAGAGCTCTATAAAATTGGTGCTTCTTGGCGTATTCACTCCCCCCACCCCTGACCTCAGACACCGAGCACAGGGCCATGGACACAAGGACGGGGATGTGAGGACCACTCCAGCCGGACAGAGACTAGGCACATGAAGGACGCTCTGTAAAGGCTTAAGGCCCAGAGCCCAGGAGTAAAGTGTCGCAGGCATCGTGTGTGGATGGCCTGGGTCCCTCTGTCTTGTTCAGTCAGCACTGACATTATCTCAGTCTATGGTGCAACTAAATCCTGGCTCCTGCTGGAGAGTCTCACCTTTCATTCCTGGTGAAATATTTGTCTGGATTGGCTCATCTCAGCTCAGGCAAACTGTTTGGAGATGCCTTGAAAAGGAACTGTACTAAAGGAATGGGATTTAAAGACTTTTCCTTGCAAATATTTTAAGAGTGTTTTTGAATGTCCTACCAACACATCTGCCTACTTCTAATATTAATAAATGTATCTATACTTTTTTTTAATCCGGCCCGCCGAACTGGAATAAATTACAATAATAAACCTTGTTGATGTTTTATTTGTCATGCATTTCCAGCGTTTCCCAGTAGATGGCGCACTATATATACAATGAGTTGCGGCGTATTATGTTGGCCGCAATGCTTTATGGGAACGTGTTCTTACAGGAGTTATTCGGACCATGAGTGAAGTAGTTGGTGCTTAAGATATAAAACAGCACTGCTTCCATTTTGAGTTGGTAAAAACCAATCAAAGAAATCTGTGGTCTCTGAGTTGTAATAGTTAATGTGTACAACATTTCGGAGGCAGGTTTTACTGCAGTCACAGGTGTGTGTCTGTGGTTGTGGTGTGAGCTTTGTTTTTGAGCTGTTTCCAGTCATATTTGGAAACGGTGAACTCATGATAAACATTCACTCGTGTTGTGCAGTGGAACAGGTCTCAACAGTTTCATGTTCTGAATCTTTCACAGCAGTGATGAAACGTGTAGCGTCTGAAGTCCTGGATAAATGTGAATAAGAATGTAATGAATCTGAGCTCTTAACACGTTATGTCCTGTCTTCTGTCCGGCCCTTCAGTCAAACTTTAGGACCCTATGTGGCCTGCGAGCCAGAAAGTTTGCCCACCCCTGCTCTAAAATGTCACAATAAGGCCGAGAATGTTTAGTACAGATGATATAAGACCCGTTTAGATTTACAGTTTATCAGTGAAAAAGGTGAATTTGGTGTTTAGTGAGCCTTTAAGGATGGTAAGTCAGTGGATAAGTGAAGTAAACAGAACTAAATCTAGTACCTCTGGGGTTGGCCCAGAGAGCACATTAACGTGTGTGAAAACCACCTAAAACACAAGCCACCATTTTGGTTCAAAAATGGATTCTCTTTGAACACAGTTAACACAACAAGACTAAAGAACAACAGACCAACAAATACAACAGTCCAATCAACCAGAAACAAACAAATCACCAGTGCAACAGAAACACAGGGGTCAATGGCCATTCATTCATTTATTGTCTTTTTTGTCTATTTTACTACATGGTACCAGCAAAGTATTTCAGTCTCTGCCTCCTCTCTCCCTCAGCTGCACCTTGTCTTCTGATTACCAGCCCACAGTTATTACACTGCGTTATTAACTTGTAATTACACAATTATTGCATAATATTAAAGTTAGTATAGTAGCCTACATCATTTATTACTATTCTACACTGCGTATTTGCGGGGACTTCCGGTGAGGCAGCGCCATGTAAAGTTGTGTCTCGTTGAGCTCCGCACAGGGACACACTCTTAATAACCATTTCGCTTTGGAAATAGTGCAACGAAGCTTTGCCTGCTAACTTAAGGTTGCTGTAATATCGGGTTGCGATCAACATGCCCAAAAAACAAGCAAATAAAACGGAACAATTGGATGCGGGAGCTGAGCCTCGCGCGGAAGCTAACGCTAGCATACCTGACCCAACCTGCCTGGACGAGGACGCAGCAGCCCGTGGCTACACCGGTGACCGACAAATTCTCAACGCAATCACTACGCTTAAACAAGAGTTGTTTGCCAAAATAGATGAGAAGGCAACTGAGACACAAGCGGAATTACGCAACGCCTGTTGGGAAGATTAACAGGAGGCTGGATGCTATTGAAAGCCGCACGACTGATGTAGAAGCTGGAGTCAGCGAACACTCGGTCATTATCTCTGCTTTGGAGTCGGATGTGTCCAGTATGAAAAAGGATCTTGACTCACTGAAAGCCCGATGCGAGGACTTAGAGGCACGATCACGTCGCTGTAATATCCGCGTCACAGGTGTGAAAGAGGGACGAGAACATGGTAAACATCCTTCCCAGTTTGTAGCAAACATGCTGAAAGAAGCACTTGGTTTGGACAAATTGCCGTGTCTGGACATAGCACACAGAACAACCCGTACTAGACCGACACAAGAGGACCTACCGCCACGAGCATTTGTAGTAAAATGTCACTATTTCACTGAAAAAGAAATGCTTCTGAAGGCTGCTGCAGCTGGGATGATAACGGCCACTGACGGAGACTGCATCCGTGTCCTGTCCGACTTCACTCAGGCCGTGAGCAAACAGCGCGCGGCGTTTACGGAGGTGAGGAATCTGCTTCGCGGCTGCGAGGGGGTCCGCTACGGATTGAGGTACCCGGCCACGCTGAGGATCACGACTGCGGACGGACGTGAAAGCAGGTTCAAAGATCCCAAAACTGCAAAGGAGTTTGTTCTGAAGGAAATAAAGAAAGCATGACTGACGAAGTTACTGTTACAGCAGCTAAGATTTCCCAGGGATAACCAGGTGACACGGTCTGGCAAGGTAATATTTCATTGTCTATTTACGTGCCTTCCAGACTTATAAACAACGCTACCTCTACTCCCCATAGCAATATGTTATGTAAGTAGTCAAAGGACTAAGCGAAGCTTGTTGCTAAAATTGTACAATTATTATTATTATTTTATTTTTTTAAACAAAAAAACTGCATAGGTCCCTGTGTGGGAGACATGGTAAGCATCCTAAATGGAGTGTGATGATGTGGACTTTGGAAACCAGAAGTTGGATGGTCTCTTCATGGGACTATTTTTGATTTATTTCTATTTTTATAGTATAGTTGTTCATCATTGTACCTTTCTGGGGTGTTGTTTTCCCCCAATGTTGTGTTACTGGAGAGCAGGCTTTTTTGTTTTTTTGTTTTTTCCCCCCTACTCCAACTACTCTCAATACTTCAACATTAAATCCTTGTAATGCTATCTACCCATAAGGCTCTAACCCCTACTACATTGGTCAGCTGGAATGTTCGTGGGCTCAACCACCCTATCAAACGTAACAAAATTTTTTTCACATTTAAGTAAACTGCATTGTCGCATTGCTTATATACAAGAGACAAATTTGCTTAACAAAGACTATACAAGACTCCTCAGAAGGGGGTTCACACAATGTTTCCACTCAAATTTTAATAGTAAGAGTAGAGGAGTGGCTATTTTAATACACAGGGATGTGCAATATGTCGAGACTAAAACCCTAAGGGACAAAAATGGCCGTTATGTCATCACTCAAGGCAAACTATATAATAGGCCTGTTATTTTGGCCAATGTCTATGCCCCTAATTGGGACAATGCCAATTTCTTCACAAATCTCTTCTCCCTTTTACCAGACCTTGACTCTCATGAGCTAATATTGGCTGGGGACCTGAACTGCACCCTGAATCCAGCCCTGGACCGTTCTAGCCCTAAAGTTATGACGCAAAACAAATCAGCCCGATGCATTAGTGAGTTTCTTGAAGCTTACGGTGTGATGGACCCATGGAGATTTAAGCACCCGACATCCAAACAGTTTTCTTTCTTTTCCCCCGTACACCAAAATTATTCAAGAATTGACTACTTTTTAATAGATCAAAAATTATTACCCTTAGTTACCCACACAGAATACGACAGCATCGTAATATCTGATCACGCACCAGTGGTCTTAAAATTGAGCTTTCCAGAGAATGTGGCCTCGCCCATATCCTGGAGGTTAAACTCCAGATTATTGTCTGATCAAAAGTTTGTCGAATTTATTAATACACAAATAGATTTTTTTATAGAGCTCAATGAATCCCCTGAGATAAGCTGTTCCACACTCTGGGAAACTCTAAAAGCCTATTTGAGAGGGCAGGTGATTTCCTTTGTTGCAGGGGAAAATCTGAAACAAACAAAACGAGCCTCAGAGATAATTGATCGAATCAAGGAAATAGATCAGCAACACTCAGCGTCACCCTCTGACGAATTGTACAAGGAGAGAATCTTGCTCCAAACCGAATTCAATGAAGTCACCAATACTAAGGCCATAGACCTTCACCTTAGGTCCCGCCAAACATATTTTGAACATGGTGACCGGGGCTAACAAACTGCTGTCACATCAGCTGAAACAATCAACAACTGCTGGCTCTATTGTTGCAATTAAGGATGGGCATGGACATGTACTTATAGATCAGAAGGACATTAATATGGAATTCAAATTATTTTACGAGAAATTGTACAGCTCTGAAGCCAGTGACTTGGTCCAAGTGGAGAACTTCTTCAGTGACCTGACTCTGCTCACTTTAGAGGACTCAGATAAAACTAAGTTGGAGTCGGATTTGTCTCTGTCTGAAATAGACAATGCCATTAGGAAGATGAAATCTGGTAAAGCACCTGGCCCAGATGGGTATCCAATAGAATTTTTCAAAACATTTGCCTCCAAATTGGCCCCGTTGCTGTTAAAAGTTTTCAGGGAGTCCCTGGACAACAAAGTTCTGCCCACGACAATGACCCAAGCTACAATTTCACTGTTGCTGAAAAAATCCAAAGACCCGCTCCTTTGCGAATCATATCGTCCCATTAGCCTTCTCAACTGCGACTATAAGATTCTAGCAAAGGCGCTGGCAGGGCGACTTGAAACTGTCCTTCCAAAATTGGTACACCCAGACCAGACGGGGTTTGTTGTGGGGAGGCAAATATCTAGCAATCTTCGGCGGGTGTTTAATGTCATCTATCAACGCAGTGATATTGTGCCTGAGGTAGTGATATCCCTTGATGCACAAAAAGCGTTCGATAGAGTGGAATACAATTTTCTATTCACCACACTTAAAAGAATGGGATTTGGCCCTATTTTTTGTTCTTGGATCCATATGCTGTATGCAACACCTCAGGCATCAATTAGAACAAATAAGGTTATGTCTAGTTTTTTTCCTCTTGCTCGTGGAGCAAGACAGGGCTGCCCATTGAGTCCAATCCTATTCAATATCGCTATTGAACCCTTGGCAATTATGATAAGGGAATCTACGCAATTGCTTGGAATACAACGAGGGGGACAAACCCACAAACTATCCCTCTATGCAGATGACCTTCTCCTCTTTCTTTCAGATCCACACACCACTATTCCCATTGCTTTAAACATTATAGATAAATTTGGGCAGGTGTCTGGTTATAAATTAAATATGTCTAAAAGTATACTCTTCCCGATCAACAAAAAGGCTCAACAATTAGATCTCCAGGGTTTCCCCTTCACAATAAACAAGGACCATTTTAATTACTTGGGTGTATGTGTCACCTATGATTATAACCTCCTATTTAAAAAAAATTTCACAAATTCTCTAGAAAAAGCAAAACAAGATATGGATAAGTGGTCCAAACTCCCCTTGTCACTGGTCGGAAGAGTTAATTCTGTGAAAATGATAATCATGCCTAGGCTTCTTTATCTGTTTCAGACGGTGCCAGTCTTCATTCCTAAAGCTTTTTTTAAGGAACTGAATGGGTGCATGTCCATGTTCATCTGGAATAAAAACATCCCTCGAATCAGAAGAGAGTTCTTAGAAAGACGGAGGGAAGATGGTGGTCTATCACTACCAAACTTTCTTTACTACTACTGGGCAACAAACATTAACAAATTACTTTTTTGGGCTGCAGACACGCCAGAGGCGGAGTGTCCATCCTGGGTCCATCTTGAAGAGCACTCTAGCAATCCAGCTTCACTCTCATCGCTTATGTGCNATTGACAGCCTGTCAGCTCACAGATAACGAGGCAGTGTCGTTATCTATTGGCAAATGTTTAGCCCCACCACGTCCAGAGTTGATGAATTTTTATTCTCTTTTTTTGGTCATCATAATTACAAGGCTACTGCATCTCTATAATCTATCATTGACAACTTGAAACAAAAAAAAATCCTCCATACAACCTTTAAAGCTCACAAGAGTCATTTTTGCATAAGAACTTTGGACAGAAAACAGAGTCATATGGGCCTTTAACAAAATTATGCTCATTATAATTATTTGTACAAAAGATAAGTGGAGTATGGAAAACAGTTACAGTGTTTGGATCACATATTGAAAGCTGCTCATATCACGTTTGCTGCTAAATGTTTTGAATCTTAAGGCTACAAATTGGGATTTTTCTTGATTTTTGGGTCGAGTCGTCGCCCATAAACCAGAAGATCACCAGTTTGATCTCGTGTGTGTTTCTAATCAACGGTTAAAAAAGAGAAAAATGAACATAAACACGTGACGACTGATCATATATATTTGTTATTTTTTACACCAGGGACTCTAGTTAAAGACGCACTATGGGACTTTGGGCTGTTAGTTTTGTCGCTGGGGGATAATCGGCTGTGCAGCTCAGAGTTTCCCACACACAGACTAAGAATGAACAGAATCAAAACCACCGAGGTCCACAAATTAATAGCCTGGTCCTCTCCCCCTCACGATAAATGGGCCAGAATTAGGGCTGAACGATTTTAAGAAAAAATTGAATTACTATTTTTCTGGCTGATATTGCAATTTTGATTTAACAATTCCGCTTTTTTTTTTTTTTATTAAGTTTCAGTGCACATGAACGTTTACAAACATCACAGAAACTTCAGAAACATCGTACCAGAGTCTTGCACCGGGTCCGGGACCTGTGAGCGCCCGGCGTGACTCGACTGTCAAAAATACAACATCACTTCACAGGCTTATTTATTGAGCAGAAGAAATTGATCGAGATGCCGGACTTTTGGGCCGCATACGGACTGAACTAGGACTAGACCAGGACTGAACCAGGATTGAAACAGGACTGAACCAGGACTGAACCAGGATTAAATCAGGACTAAATCAGGGCTAAATTAAGACTAGACTAGGACTAAACCAGGTCTAAACCAGGTCTAAACCAGGACTAAACCAGGTCTAAACCAGGACTAAACCAGGTTTAAACCAGAACTAAACCAGGTCTAAACCAGGTCCAAACCAGGTCCAAACCAGGTCTAAACCAGGTCTCTAAACCAGGACTCAACCAGGACAAAAAAAAAAGACTAAACTAGGACTGAACCAGGATTGAATCAGAACTAAACCAGGTCTAAACCAGGTCCAAACCAGATCTAAATCAGGACCAAACCGGGACTGAACCAGGAGTAAGACCAGGACTAAACCGGGACTGAACCAGGACTGAACTAGGACTGAACCAGGTCTAAACCAGGACTAAACCAGAACTGAACCAGGGCTGAACCAGCACTAAACCAGGATTGAATCAGAACTAAACAAGGTCTAAATCAGGTCTAAACCAGGACTAAACCATAACTAAAACAGGACTAAACCAAGACTAAAACAGGACTGCACCAGGTCTGAACCAGGACTAAACGAGAACTGAACTAGGTCTAAAAAAGCTAGTTTTGTTGCTTGTTTAGTGAAAAGAAACTCACTTATGCGACACGTTTGACATTTTCACTTTTTTGAGGATTCAAATGTTTGTTTATTTTTTATTGAATCGATTTTAAATATATCGAATTGCATCAAATCGAAAGCTCAGTGTATCGAGATATGTATCGTATCGGCGACTTCTTGACGATACTCAGCCCAAATTTTTTATATAACTGTGGGAAACACTGCAGCTGCTACAGTTTAATAAACCGCTTCCTTGAACATTTCCGGTTGATTTTTCTTCGGACATTGACGCATTTTCCAATCATCTTGTCTCCTGCAGCTCTGTTTTGGCTGTTTTTTTTGTTTTTTTTTGCTGCTCTCATTCACACCTACGTTCACTGCGATGGAAAACTCACAGCTCCTTCATTAAACTCTGCTTTTCACCGAAGGTCACGGCTCGGCTCCTGTTTCCGCCGGCGCTTTTGTTTGGCACTTTTGCGCTAAACCCCCGGCGACGCGCTCACAGATCTATTCCCCCCCCTTCCTCCCCTCGTCGTGCGGCGTTTTCTGACGGGTTTCTGTTGCGTTCTGTGCTGTCTCTGCAGAGGACCATCACGCTCGGCGCCGGGGACAGGCAGGTGATCCAGACGCCTGTCACGGACTCGCTCCCCGTCAGCGGCAGCAGCGTCGCTCAGCTCTTCAGACAACTCGGTACGGAAACACTCAACACTTCACTATGTTAAATACTAAACTGTACTTCTACACTAAATTAAATAAAATAAAATAAATATTAAACTATACTCCTATATAACAAATAAAATAAATATTAAACTATAGTCTTGCATTAAATTAAATTAAAATAAATACTAAACTATACTCCTACACTAAATAAAATAAAATAAAATAAATACTAAAACTACTCCTACTAAAATAAAATAAAATAAATACTAAACTATACTCCTACACTAAATAAAATAAAATAAAATAAATACTAAACTTTACTCCTTTAAATTAAATTAAATAAATACTAAAACTATACTCCTACACTAAATAAAATAAAATAAATATTAAACTTTACTCCGGCATTAAATAAAATAAATATTAAACTATACTCCTATAAATTAACTAAATAAATAAAATAAAAATAAATAAAATACTAACGCTATAAATAAAATAAATCAAATAAAATCAAATAAATACAAATTATAAAAATAAAATAAATAAAATAAATACTAAACTATACTCCTTTAAATCAAATCAAATCAAATAAATATTAAATTATACTCCTCCACTAAATAAAATAAAATAAATATTAAACTATACTCCTTTAAATCAAATAAAATAATATTAAAGCTATACTCCTGCACTAAATAAAATATAAATAAATACTAAACTTTACTCCTTTAAATCAAATAAAATAAATACTAAAATATACTCCTACACTCAATGAAAATAAATAAATATTAAGCTATACTCCTATAAATGAAATAAAATAAATACTGAACTATACTCCTGTAAATCAAATAAAATAAATATTAAACTATACTCCTATAAATGAAATAAAATAAATATTAAACTATGCTCCTACACTAAATAAAATAAAATAAATATTAAACTTTATGCTTACACTAAATCAAATAAAATCAAATAAATACAAAATTATTCTTCTATAAATCAAATAAAATAAAACTAAACTATACCCTACTAAATAAATAAAATAAATATTAAACTATACTCCATAAATAAATAAAAATATAATACTAAAATATTCTCCTGCACTAAATAAAATAAAATAAATACTAAACTACCTATAAAACAAATAAAATAATATTAAAACTATACTAATAAAATAAAAATAAATATTAAAACTCCTCTAAATAAATAAAATAAAATTAAACTATACTCCTGCACTAAATAAAATAAATATTAAACTTCTCCCTCTCTCTTCTCTCTTCTCTCTCTCGTCTGTGCAGGTATCTCGTGAACGTGCTCTGTCTGTTCTGTGCGGCTCTGACTGAACATAAGATCCTGTTTTTGTCGAGTAGTTATCAGAGGCTGACGGACGCGTGCAGAGGGCTTCTGTCCATCATGTTCCCGCTCAAATACAGGTCTGAGTTAAATAAACTCTTCAAAAACACCTGGGATAAAAGTACTATTACTTCAATTTATCATCTAAGATTTAGTTTATTTTATGCTCTGCGTGATTCAGCATTTGGGTTTGACACTTCACCAGAAAAGTTACACATCTTGAAATTAAAATACTAAATTGTGTGGAGAAGTAAGAGTAAAAGTGCAGAGGATGGAAACTGTGTCTGATCGTACGTTTTAATTAAACATAAATGTGTCTGTCTGCAGTTTCACGTACGTCCCCATTCTTCCCGGTAAACTTCTGGAGGTCCTGAGCACGCCCACCCCCTTCATCATCGGAGTCAACTCTTTCTTCAAATCTGAGACGCAAGAACTGGTGAGTCCATTTTATTTGAGAACTATCACTCCTGATTCAAGGTCTGTTTATACGAGAACACTTACAGGTAAAAACGACAAAATATTTTATGGGAAGTGTCTTTCGTTTGGACGGTGACGGCGTTTTTGGGGCTTAAAAACGCAAAAATCTGACACCACCCTCCAGAGTGGATAAGTTGAAAACGCTCCACTGTAGTGTTTCCGTCTACACTGCCCAAGACGCAAAACTCTGGTCAGATCTGCTCAGGTCACGTACACGTTTACGTCACATAGATGCGTCAAGAATCTCGAACTTCCAGTCATCATCGCACAATTCATACTGGGAAGGATTTTCAGAAAAAGTGAACATCAAACCTCCACGTTTGTTTTCTCAGTGGGATGTGTCTATTGTCAAAGTCGATCTTTTCAAGTTTTTTGACGTGACTTAAACTGTGATGCACGACTGAACCAGGACTGAACCAGGACTAGGACTAAAACAGGACTAAAACAGGACTACACTAGAACTAAACCAGGTCTGAACCAGGTCTAAACCAGGACTGAACCGAGACTGAACGGGCACTGAACCGGGACTAAACCTGGACTGAAGCAGGACAGAAGCAGGACTGAACCAGTCTCAGTCGTCGTCTCTCAGTCCCAGTCCCAGTTCGGTCCCGGTCTGGTCCCGGTCTCAGTCCTGGTCTCAGTCCCAGTCTGGTCTCTGTCTGGTCTCTGTCTGGTTCCGGTCTCAGTCCTGGTCTCAGTCCTGGTCTCAGTCCTGGTCTCAGTCTTGGTCTCAGTCCCGGTCTCAGTCCGGTCTCAGTGGTCTCAGTCCTGTCTCTCCTGGTCTCAGTCGGTCTCAGTCCCAGGTCTCAGTCGGTCCGGTCCAGTCCTGGTCTCAGTCCTGGTGTCAGTCTCAGTCCTGGTCTCAGTCCTGTCTCAGTCCTGGTCTCAGTCCTGGTCTCAGTGCGGTCTCAGTCCCAGGCTCAGTCCCAGTCTGGTCCCAGTCTCAGTCCTGGTCTCAGTCCCAGTCTCAGTCCCGGTCTGGTCCTGATCACCCAACAGTCTACACAGGTGCACCTCTGGGTCCGTCCCAACACTCAGTCCTGGTTCAGTCCTGGTTCAGTCCTGGTTCAGTCCTGGTTTAGTCCTGGTTCAGTCACATTTTGTTTACATCAGTTTAAGCAACAGAGAAAAACATTTGACAGATCCTCCTCTAGAAAAGTTACACAGTGAAACTTTACGCAAAACGACAAACTGTACACGTCTCATCAAATTACATTATTACAGAAATGACCCCTGACCCTTTGTTCGGTCCGTTTTAATCTCAAAATCCAGCACATTTTTATTCTGTGCCAAGTTTAGTCTGAACCTGCCTTAAATTCAGCGTCAAAGAAAAAAAATCAGTTTTATTAAATGATGATGAAGTCTGCGGTGGGAGATCTGACAGCGCCATCGCGATAAAACCCTTTTACATTTTGATCTCTGTGTTTTATCTTACAAATATTTCTGCGATTAACAACAACATCTCATCACTGCTGGGGTCAGAGGTCAGAGTTTATCTCCTGGACGAGTTAAATGTCTGAGGTTCTATAATGAGACACTGTTGAGAGACTCTGAACTCACACAACCACTGTCATCTTTTATGTCGTATTATATCAGCGCACGAGAGTTTAAAGATGCACTATGTAAAGGCCAATTTACGGTCCAGCGTCAAATCATCTGCATCACAACGCAGAGAGTGTGTGTCAACGTGAACCCCCTACGCAAAGTGTCTGCGTCAACCGACGTGCACCCCCAAAATTTTCTAACTACGCGTCGAAGCGATGCAGACAGCAGGGGAAGCGACGCAGACGATAAGGGCTGTGATTGGTCCTCTGTACCGCCGCTCTACATACATTTCCTGTACTCAGCTTTCCTTTCTTTCAATATACATTGAGTAATAATGTGTTTAATTCAGCTTTGTGCACATGTGTTTACGTTTTACAGAAACAAAACTTAAAACCACACAGCTAATTTGCATAAACTAATCGAACTAAAAACAGCCCTTTCCTTGTGCGCTGATGCGGTTCAGCTTCTGTCGGACTAAAGGACATGACTCAGTGGAATCTGAGTGTTCTTTCTGTGACAGAGGGATGTTCTGCTGATGGTGAATCTGTTCTGTTGTTGTCGTGTTGGAGATGGTTCATGTGAAACTTTTCTGAGATTATACGTGTGCAGGTCACACGCGTAGACCGTTTATATGAATGGACAGATATTCTAGCCTTTTAGCGTTTTGGCGGTGAATTAATTTGCGGTGCATAGACCTTGACACATATTTTCATATGTGAAAAACGACCGTGACAAGGCGACGGCGGCAGTGCGCATTGAGTCGATGCAGAACTATACTTTGCCCTTAACTTTTCTGGTGTGGCTTCTGGAAACTATTTGTCTCCAGGGAGATGTTATTGCTTTTCCTTGAATGTTCCAAGAAAAGGCATCAAACTTACACATCTCCATGGAGCATCATTATCAAAAATATCGAAAATCAGATACTAATCAATGCTAAAACTGTCGTTGAAAGTAGATACTCATTGACCCTTTGAGCCCGACGGTATCGTATACGATATCTGGGAGTATGTTTTTATATAACCACACATAACTTTGCAACCATAAAAGACAGAAACTTACTTTTCTCCCTTTGAAAAGCTGGGACTTGCTAACCTGATTCATCAGTCGGTTTTACTTTGTGGAAACCGTCTGACTTCGCAGCATTAGGATTTTGTTCGTTCGACAATAGACGGGTACTTTTTTTATTTAACCAGTCGCTGCTGTTTGGTCGTGACGTATGTAATGCTCCAAATCCCGAAGGAAGAAGGACAATAACGTCTTTCCCCTTGATAAAATTCACCAAACATTCTCTTTGTTCCGGCTTTAAATCCTCGATCTCGAGAATCGTTGCCAACACAGAATGTCTGGCTCTTCACTGATTGGCTGGTGCCTGAACTCGAACTTCTGGGGTTCTTGCAAACCGTCTAGTGTATTCTGATAACTGATTTAGTCGCTGGAGAGAAATTAAATTGAGCACCATCAAAGCAAAATCCCAATCCCTCACTCGACCTCGGTTATGAATTTAAAAAGTCAACGCCAAAGCAAAAGGCTCCAACTGTTCACCAAGAAACACCTTCCACTGCAAAGAGACCAAGACGTGATGTTGCTGTAAAACCACAAGAACAAGAAAGTGCAGCTCAGTCTGTTTGTCTTCTGCTCCTCTACATTAACAAACGGGATTTTGTTTTGTTGTTGCTCCACATACAAAATGTTCTCTGTAAACTCGGGATGATTTCTTAGTCAGACAAATGTTTCCTTTTTGGTTCTTCCTGTGGATCAATCCTGCCCATCGCCTTCACCTTTCACTATTTTTCAAATTCGTTTATGTGACACGTTTGACATTTTCACTGTTTTGATGATTAAAATTAGCGTTTTTCATATTCACATTAACTGGTTTAACAAAGACTTTTAGTATCACAGCCATAATTTAGCCTTTATATTTTTATTTAACCATACTGAATCAATTTGATATATATTTTATTGAACCGAAAGTTCACCTGTCGACATGTATCGTATCGTGGCTTATGTATCGAGGTATGTATCGTATCGGCAACTGCTTAACGATACAGATTTTATAACAATTAAAAAAAAATAAGAACAGCAAGGTGTCTCTTCTTAACTATGGACAAATGTCAAAGAGAATTTGAGACAGTTTTAAAGCAAGGATTTAAACTGCTCAAGTGACTGTGCAGTTCTAATGTTGCAGAGGCAAAATAAATACACAACACGTGGAAAAAAATCCTGTACGATCCCTTTAACTTCTCCGTGCCTCTTGTGTGTTTGCAGTTGGACGTGATCATCGCTGACCTGGACGGTGGAACAGTGACGATCCCCGAGTGCGTCCACATCTCTCTCCTGCCTGAACCTCTGCTGCAGCAAACACAGACTCTGCTCTCGATGGTGAGGAACAGCGTCCAACAGACTGCTCATGGTTTTAATACTCTGCTCTTTTAACACTGCACACGACTGGGCACAGATGTGAGAGTCGACCGCTGTGTTATTAGTCATAATGTGTCTTAGTTCTGTTCCCGGTCTCAGTCCCGGTCTCAATCCTGGTCTGGTCACGGTCTAAGTCCTGGTCTCAGTTCTGGTCTGGTCCCAGACTCAGTCCTGGTCTGGTCCCGGGCTAAGTCCTGGTCTCAGTCCCGGTCTGGTTCTGGTCTGGTCCTGGACCTGGTTCAGTCCTGGTTCAGTCCTGTTTCAGTTTGTACGTGGCACAAAAGTCCAGCATCACAGTTTAAGTCACGTAAACGGGACTTTTGTGCCACATACGAACTGAAACAGGACTGAACCAGGACTGAACCAGGTCCAGAACCAGACCGGGACTGAGACCAGGACTTAGCCCGGGACCAGACCAGAACCAGACCAGGACTTCGTATGTGGCACAAAAGTCCAGCATCACAGTTTAAGTCACGTGAACGGGAAACGGTCGTTATGCGTTTTTTCATTTAAATACAAAATCAAAAACTGAAAAAACGAATCGTTATCTGTTTTTTCATTTTGGTTTTGGAGACAAATCATGAAGAAAATTGTTGTTTTTTTCATTTTCTTGTTTTTGGTTTTATTTTGAAAAACAAAAGAATGACACACAGATTCAAAAGGCGACTAAAAAAACTGTTTGTGTTTGTGTGAGCGACGTGTTTAACGGCACAAATCAGTGTTGTAGTTCCAAGTAAGTTTGTTCTTTCTGGTCACACTGTGAAAAATAAAGCTCAGATTAAGTCGAACTTGAGTAACAGAGCTTCTAATGGAGCGGTGCTTCCAGTGAGCTTGAATATTGATGTCATCAGCTTCAAGTATCAACCGTCAAGTGTTTGGATCTTATTTGTATTAGTTAGACCAGGGGTAAATAGCTCCATGTTTAGGCCTTTTGCGTTTGCCTTTGGTTTCTTTTTGTTTTGTTTGGTTGCTGAGTCTCCTGCTGGAGCCGCCTCTCCTCGTGTCTCTGTGTCTCTGTTCAGTGTCAGTGCTTCATTTTCACACTGAGCTGAAGAACTCTGAGGGTGACACGGGAGAATGTGTTTGTTTAATACAGACCGGCCGCCAACAAGGACTGTGGAGTATGAAGAACACGCAGCTCTACTGTGGAAACTTACACTGACTAAATGTTTGGCAATCACAACAGCACTTTGTCTAACATTTATTCATTACGGGTGTTTCAAGTCCGTGTTCTTTTGAGTTTCAAGTACCGTATTTTTCGGAACCAGCCAAAAAATGTGTAATGAAGAAGAAAAAAACATAAGTCGCACTTCTGGGGGGAAATTTATTTTATAAAATCAGAGACCAGGAACCAACATTTCATCTCAAAAGTTAAGTTGTAGTAAAAACAATAGAAGAGAGAACAACAGACTGTTAACGTCACATATGAACAGTTCTTCAGATAAACTATAACATAAACAACAGAACAGAACAAGTTTAACAAACTCTCCATCTCACTCCAAATCACTAAATCCATTCAATTCTTCATCCTCGGTGTCACTTCTGAACAACTCAACCTCGACCTCCGGAGGTAAACAGAGCGTCACTTCCTCTTCTGTGTCGCTGTCGTCAGACTCAGCATCAGTTCCAGTTAAAATTATTCGAGTCTTTCTGAATCCCGACAGGATGGTTTCTGTGTCACTGAAGTCCAGGCTTTGTCCATCCATCCAGTGACTTCAGGAAAGTTTCATGATGCATCCTCCCGGTTACCGTGAAGCTGTGTTCTCCATCCCCGCTTTCCTCTAGTCCCTCACTCCAAACTTTCTTTCTGCTGCTCGATTCTCGTTTTCGGCTGAATATTTCACTAGTTGCAGCAGGACAGAGGCTCTTTCTGCAGGAGACATGCGCAGTAGAGCCAAGTGACAGTGGTACAGGAGGAACAGGAGCAGCAGATACTCACACACAAGACTAGAACCTCTCACCGCTTCACTCAAACATTTTAATATATAAGTTGGACCGGAGAATAAGTCACAGGAAACACCCAAACCATGAAAAAAAGTGCCACTTATAGTCCGAAAAATAAGGTACTTCTGTTTTGTTCATGATCATAATCTTAGTTTTTTTTTTTTCAGTTGTTCACTAATGCGTCGTCGTTGTTTCCTTTAAGTTTTCGTCTTTCTTCTCTTGATAGTTGTGGATAAATTCTTCATGTTAGAATGTTTATCCTTTGTGGATCTTGTTGGTTGAAGATTTGGTGATGCGGCAGATTTATGAAGCTGCTGGATAATACGACGCACATTTACACAGATATTTTGCATTAAAGTAAGTGATGTTTACCCAACATCGCAACAGGAAACATTATAATAACAGAATATATCATTTATAAGTTATAAGTCACAGGAAACACCCAAACCATGAAAAAAAGTACAACTTATAGTCCAAAAAATATGGTAAGAATGAAAAACAATAAAATGGGAAAAATTATTATTATTATTATTATTATTATTATTATTATTATTATTATTATTATTTTAGTGTCAAACAAAAAAACTGATTTCGACCTCTATTTCCAATATTTATTTTAAAGTTTAATTCAAATAACACCGATCCAAAAACAGTCTCGGTGCCTATATTAATTTTGATATTTTATTCTCTCTGCTTTATTTGCCCCAGAAGGACTTACCTGAAAAATCGTTGGAGTTTTGTGGACAAACATGTCGTCTTCTTTTAAAGCGACGTGTTTACTTTCACGTTTTAGAAAATAATTGTTGAACTCCATGACGAGAAACGGGAAGCAGCGATAAACTCTCCTTTTGTTCAAGCAAATAAACCAGAGTGAATAAAATATCAACATTAAAACGGGCACGATGACTTTTAAAAAAAATAAACTTTAAATGAAATATTGGAAATAGAGGCCGAAATCTTTTTCTCCCAATTTCTCTCAATTTTTTTTTATTTGACACTAAAGCGGAATAATGAAATAACAAACGGTTTTCCCATTTTATTGTTTTTTGTTAATTAAAATTCAAAAGGACCATTTCGGTTGCTCAAAAATACAATAATTCTTTCTGCGAATAGGGCGACACTCCACAGATCTGACCTGTAAAGTAGACTATAGTTGCCTCCTTTGAGATGGATTGGTTTAATCGCGAGACAAAGCAATAACATCTCCATGGAGACGAGCAGAAAAGTTGCACAATGCACCTTTAAATGTGCAGAAAATGTTTAAAATGTAGGATTCTGTTCAGAGTTTGTATTGTAAACAAACCAAAAAGACAACTGGGGAAAAATAATTCTACTAATATACCTCAATTACATTACAAACAGATAAGATAAATAAATTTTTTTACAGTAATGTTTATTTTTTGTTCAGGTTTTGGACCCAGAGTTGGAAGTCGCTGACCACGCCTTTCCCCCAGTCTGCAACCAGCCCTCCTCACTAAAAATACAGGTAAAGTTTGGTTTAATCTCAACATTTCTCTTTGTTTTTAGAGTGATTTTAATGTTTGTCTCTGGTGATTTCAGGACAAAGAGATCCGTGCCGTGTTCCTGTGGCTCTTCGCTCGCCTCTTTCGGGGATATCGATGGTGTTTACACATAATCCGCATCCACCCTGAGCCCGTCATCCGCTTCCACAAGGTACGAACTGAACACGACGGCTGCTGCGTTTAAGTCAAATCTGATGTCATCTCGGAGCGTTTTCACATCGCTAGTTTGATTATTTGGTCCGCTCCAGACAGTAAAATAGTTATTCTGTAGCATACCGTATTTTCTGCACTATTAGTCGCTCTGGATTGTAAGACACATGGTCTATTTTCGAACTTTTTTCACCGGACTTTAAAGGAAACACAACAGTGTGATGGGTGAGTGGTTTTGTTTGTTTGTTTGTGGCGTTCACGGTGACTCTGCACTTCTTGCATTTGTCTCATCCTCAGTTTATGTTCAGGTCTCATGTGAAGCTCAGAACCTCCAGAATTCCCTCTGTGAGCTGCAGAGGCCGCACTAGCACTGACTCTGATATTGTGTGTTCCTCGTGTGATAAAGCGTTCTGTCCGTGTCTGATTTTCAGGCTGCGTTCTTGGGTAAAAGAGCTCTGTCTGAGGACGACTTCCTGATGAAGGTTCTGGATGGAATGGCCTTCGCCGGGTTTGTGTCTGAGCGAGGACCTCCCTACAGAACCACGGACCTGTTCGACGATGTGAGAAGAATTAATATACATGTGTTACTGTGTAAAGGGATGCACCGATACAGCTTTTTCAGTTCCGATACTATTTTCGATACTATGGCTTTACATATCTGTCTATTATCGATATGAACCGATACCACTGCAGAGACAGAAAACAACATTTATTTCTATAAAACTACAATGAAATAAGAAAAAACTGTTGCAAATGTGTTATATATATAAGTGTCTTTTATCTTTTAAAGGAACAGTTTGGAATTTTGGACATAGGGCCTCATTTCCTAGTGAGCCTGAATAATAAGAGAATAATTTTAGAAGTAAAACCAACCTTGCATTTGAAGGATTTATGTCTGAGCAGCAGTGAGTTGTACTTCCTGATAGAAAACTCAGCAGCGGCGGACTGACCTTACCTAGCACAAGGGTGTCAAACTCAAATTCACAGAGGCCAAAATTAAAAACTGGGACTAAGTCATGGGCCAAACTAAATATTTATTGAAAAACTTCAGCAACATCTGCGTGTTTTTTCTTCTTTTGAGATATGTAATGTTAAATCTTTTCTTATTAAAATAAATGTTTCATAATAGTTTTGCTTAAACATTGAATCCAGAACAAGCAGAATATAAAATAATAACAACACTGTCAATAAATAATGTCTCTAATACATATGATCTTGCGGGCCAAATACAAGTGTATCACGGGCCAAATTTGGCCCCCGGGCCTGAGTTTGACATGTCTGACCGAGCACCTGTCTTACTGGCAAAGTAAAAATCTGCTGCTGCTGAGAAAATAGTCCCTCAACATGTGTCGATTCACGTGATACAAAAGTTAGTTTTATTTCAAACATTATTCTATCAACACAGACGTTCACATGGACAGTCTGGTGTAATAATAGATTTGCTTCGGGTGTTTTGTGGAGTGAGTAAGACTGTTTTTAGTGGCAGGATAAACTATGACCATTGACATGCACTAGTCTAACACCAGTGACCTCTGCAAATACAAGGACTGGACGGAATATTTAAAAAAGTGTCTCCACACGTCTCCAACACTCTGGATCACGAGGAAATGAGGTCCTGTGTACAAAATTCTGGACTGTCCCTTTAAGTAACTACAGCGTAGGGCCCAACCAATATATCGGTTGGCCAATTGTTTAAATATGACGTAAAGAGGCAAAATAACAATAAATGTCGCCTAAACAAACCCAACTTAAAATCTAATACAGACAGACCTAAGTTTTATAATCAGCTGAAGATTTACAGTGAATTTTAATGTCACTAAATATATCGGCAGCGGCAAAGCCTGTTATATCGGTGTCATATCGGCTCCAAAAAAAAAAAAAATCCATATGTGCAGAGCTTTGCATAAGTGAAAATTCAAACATTGTGAGACTTTCTGGGCGAATTACAACTAGTAAAAAGTCTGATTTACAAAGACTACTATCTAATTTATATGCCAAATGAAGATATGACTGAATCGATATTTGGAAGACGATATCTAGTCCAGCAAGTTTTTCAATTTTGGTGCCGACATCAGATCCCAGTATCGGATTGGTGCATCCCTTGTGTTACATCATCATCTGTCATGTTGTGTGTGACCTGGAGCCTGACCTGGAGAACCGAGTCGTTAGAGTGTAGTGTCGATGTACAGCAAAGGTGGGACTTGCAAGTCGTGACTTGGACTCAAGTCGTGACTTGAGTCACTATTTTTAGGACTTGAGACTTGACTTGATAAAATAGACAAAGACTTGGGAGTCGACTTGGACTTGAGGCCTATGACTTGAGAAGAATTTATGCTTCTTCTAAAAAATATATGTTTTTAGAAAATACTTTTCTCTTTACTTTTGATAAATGTGGTGCTTAATTTTATAGGAACATGTCCCTCCACTTCTGTTACTTTGTACTTTGTACTTTGTAACTGAAGTACTGTGATGTGGTATCCTCAAATGTACTACAGTAATATACAGTACATACACAGTACAACACAGTAATATACAGTACAACACAGTACAACACAGTAATATACAGTACAACACAGTAATATACAGTACAACACAGTAATACAGAGGGAACTACATGACAAATAACTGTTATTTAGCAGTTTTAAATCTGAATTCTTTCTATTCTAACGTAATGATTCACACTAAGATCTTGTCAAGACATTTAAAAAGAAAAAAATTACATTTCTACAGCTTTTCTATAAATACTCATATATAAATGTACCATGACTTTAGTTTAAAATTCATATAAATTGCAAAAATCTAAGCTATATTTGGTACTTTTTTGGTTTAAAGACTTGAAACGACTTGAAGCTCAAAGCAGACGACTTGGACTTGACTTGGACTTACGGGCCAGTGACTCGAGACTCGACTTGGAGTTGCCTGTATTTGACTTGGGACTTGACTCGGACTTGAGCTCAAAGACGTGAGACTCGCAAAACAATGACCTGGTCCTACCTCTGATGTACTGTACAAGACATGAGGCATTTTCACTCAAAATAGTATCAAGTCCCTGGTCCTTATTCAGTAAGAGGGAGTCATGAACCGTACATCAGCTAATTGCGACGCTCTTATCTTGGAGTCAGTCTGCTTTCTCTAAATCAGATTTATCGGACTTAAAGCTGCGGCGCCGCGCTCCAGTTTCACTTCACTGTCAGAAAAAAACTGCGCAAGTTCCCGAAAATGAACTCATGTGGATATTAACTCTGTAATAATGATTTTGTGAGAGCTAGAGATGAGTTACACAGTTAAATACACACTTCCTCCCTCCGCAGTGTGAGAATAAGTTGCCCTAGTTTGCATGTTCTCCCTGTGCCTGTCCTCCCCTCCTCTAAAAACACAGACAGTAGGGACACATCCAGGGCCAGGACTCGACTGAAAAACAGATTCTTAATTTCCCTGAAGAGGAGATGAAAAATAGTGGGACTGTCCTGGCTAAATAAAGATCAATAAATTGGACAAAAATAGGACTTAAAATGATTTATTTATATTTGTTTGTGCAGCTCATGGCCAATCAGGTGGAGAGGATTCGACAGGCGGAGGGCGACCCCCACAGAACCATGAACCACATCAAGGAACTGGCAGAACATCTCTTTAAAAACGTAAGTCCGGTCTCATCGTGCTCTCCTACGCACTCTGAAACTTACCTGAAGAATTATAGCGTTGTATGAGCAGTTTTACCGTTTATTTTACCTTCTGTCTTCCTTATATGGTCTTCTTCTCTCTTCCTCGTCCTCTGCAGGAGAACCCGTACCCCACCGTGTCAATGCACAAACTGCAGCGTCCGTCAGAAAACGCCCAGACTCCGCACTCCCCGTTCCCGCCGCTGGACGACGTGGCCGTTCAGCTCTTCGTGGACCACGCTGCTGCTAAACTCAAGACGGCGCCCCCTGTGGTGAAGGCCGAGGTCAAGGCCATGGTGCCCTCCGGACCTCCTCTGGGTGAGACACATGAACACACGACGAGAAATGAAAGGGATTTCTGGATGCAGCCTCATTCATCATTCACCAGTTTCTTTTTGTGGAAACTGTCTGACCTCGCTGCATTAGAATTCGTTCGCTCAACTGGTATATTAAGCTTTTCCCTAAATCAGTAGGAAGAAGGACAATAACGTCTTTCCCCTTGATAAAATTCACCAAACATTCTCTTTGTTCCGGCTTTAAATTCTCGAGGATCTCAGGAATCGTTGCCAACACAGAATGTCTGTCTTCGTCTATGTCCATCTCGACACTTTGTTTACTGTTGTGCTGAAACACAAAAGGGACACAGACAGACGCCACGAGTTTAACGTCATGGTTTCAAAGCTCCTCGCTGACTGGCCGGTGTGCCGTCTACAACTTTCAGGGTTCTTGCAAACCGTCTAGTGTTTTCTGATTCCTGACCTAGTCGCTGGAGAGAAATGAAATTGGGCGGAGGCACGAGGTGGCGCCAGCCTGACTACCAGTGAGTGTCTCTATGTCAACTGGAAGCAACTACAAGCAGCAACACCCTCCAGTTATTTTAATAGATCCATGGTTCGCGGTAGTAAGCCTGACATAATCTAGGAAAAATGAGAAAATGTCCCAGTTTTCTTCATCTCCATGTCATTGTAGCGTTCCGTTATGTTCAGCAAATCAACAATCACAACCGTACCTCAGTTTTTATTATTTCTCCACTGACGCACAACTCCGAGTGCACTGGGTACATGGAAATAGAAGAGACGAGGACAATCTGTGTATCATTCGTTCATTCGTTTTTCAATATAAAACCAAAAATAAGAAAACGAAAAAACAACAGTTTTCTTTGTTATTTGTCTCCAAAACCAAAATGAAAAAACGGATAACGATTCGTTTTTTTCAGTTTACGTGACTTCCGTGACTGCGATGCTGAACTTTTGCACCGCATATGGACTGAACCGGGACTGATCCAGGTCCGAGACCAGAGCGGGACTGAGACGGGACAGAGCGGGACTGAGACCGGTACCAGACCGGACCAGAGCGGACTGAGACGGGGACCAGACCGAGACCAGAGCGGGACTGAGACCGGGACCAGACCGGGACCAGGGCGGACTACGAGCTTTGACTCCGAGCCTCCACGGGGTCCGAGCCTCAGCTTCGAGCTCCGGCCCTGCCGTGGGCTCTGAGCCTCCGGTCTGGTCCCGGTCTGGTCCTGGTCTTGTCTCGGTCTAGGGCGTGACGTGACGTAGGTTTACGTGCGCAAATCGTAGTTGCAGGTGGGATTTATAAAGCAAAGATTGCGTGGTTTGGTGCGTGCGGTGGGTTTTCTAAATATGGAGTTTGCGTGGCGCACGCCTTGTCGTAGCTACAGGCGTACGCACGAACTTACGACAACTCCTGCGCAGTTTTTATAAATGAGGCCCCTGGTCCTCCGCACTCAAGAACCGCTGCTGGTTCCGAGGTGGTGCAAAGCATCCGACTGACGCATTCACACCAATGAAAATGAATCGAACTAAGAGCTTTTGGTTCAAATGGACCAGGTCCGGGACCAAACCGGGACCACAGCGCTACTGAGACCGGGACCAGACCGGGACCAGAGCGGGCCTGAGACCGAGACTAGACCAGTCCCGGTCTGGTCCCGGTCTCAGTCCGGCTCTGGTCTCGGTCTCAGTCCCGCTCTGGTCTCGGACCTGGATCCGTCCTGATTCAGTCCGTATGCGGTGCAAAAGTTCGGCATCGCAGTCACGGAAGTCACGTAAACGGGAAACGTTATCCGTTTTTTCCATTCTTCATTTAAACACAAAATCGAAAACTGAAAAAACGAATCGTTATCCGTTTTTTCATTTTGGTTTTGGAGACAAATAACGAAGAAAACTGTTGTTTTTTCGTTTTCTTATTTTTGGTTTTATATTGAAAAACGAATGAACGAATGATACACAGATTGAGGACGACAAATTCAATTCTATTCTAGTCACTGGAGAGAAATGAAATTGAGCGGAGGCACTTGGTGGCACCAGCCTGACTAACAGTGTGCAGCCTGTGCTCTAAACCTGGTATAAAGACGACACCTCTGTGAAGTCGCCCCATCAAACGCAAACCTACACAAAAACTATGTCAATCGTTCGTCCTTCGTTTGTGCTGCAAAAAGTTCCATTTGTGCTGCTTTAGTTTTGAAGATATTAACAATTCTTTTATCAGTCAAATTGGGGTCAGCAGCCTCCAGGAAGATTCAAAATGCTCTAAAACGGCCCAAAATGGTGTCAATCATTTGTTCTTCGTTTCTGAGATTACTGTTCTTAAAATATTAGCAGTTTTATTTTCAGCCGTTGATGTCATCCAGTAGCCAGGCTGGCCCCACCTAGTGCCTCCTCTCAGTTTCATTTCTCTCCAGTGACTAGGTTAGGAATCAGAATACCCGGAAGTTGTAGACTGCACACCAGCCAATCATCTGTGAGCTTTGAAGTCATGACGTCAAACTCCCGCGTCTGTCTGGGTCTCTTTTGTGGAACAGAACAACAGTAAACAAAGCGTCGAGATGGACGTAGACGAAGACAGACATTCTGTGTTGTCAACGATTCACAAGATCGAGGATTTAAAGCTGGAACAAAGAGAATGTTTGGTGAATTTTATTAAGGGAAAAGACGTTATTGCAGGTTTGGTGCATTACATACATCACGACCAAACAGCAGCGACTGGTTAAATAAAAAAAGTACCCTCCTACAGTCGAGTGAACGAATCCTAATGCTGCGAGGTCACACAGTTTTCCAGGAAGTGAAACCGGCTGGTGAATCAGGCTAGTCATCCAGCCCCTCAAAATGTTAAATAGCCTCAAAACAGGCAGAGAATTATAGAAAATGTTTGTATTTTGTTTGTCAAGTATATTTCTAAAATTTATATTTTTGCGGAAATTATGTGACATCATTTCCACTCCGCTGACGACAGCGGCTTTAGCAAAACTCTACAAAACTAGTGAAGAGAAACGATCTCAGGCTGTGGAAAAGTCTGTATGAGTCTGTAGTAATTTGCTTTTGATTCAAATATTTTATATTGTAATAGATACTTTTCCAAAGCCTAAGATTCTTTATCATTTTATCATTGGTTATCATTTTAGCACAAACTATAGACATAGTTTTTGTGTGTGTGTGTTTGATGGGGGCCAACTTCATGGAGGTAAAAAGGATACATACGGATTTGTCTCATTCTCAGTTTATGTTCAGGCCTCATGTGAAGCTCAGAACCTCCAGAATTCCCTCGCTGAACTGCAGAGGCTGCACTAGCACTGACTCAGGACTGGTGCAGGTGCTGGGGTTTAGGGAGAGGCCGTTCAGATCAGAGAGAGGCATATTTTAGGTTTAAACACAACGTTGAACCAGCAACTCAAATAAGAGAGTCACGTGAGACTCATTCTGCTTCTGATCGGAGAATCGTCTGGAACCAAAACACCAAATTCTATCAAACATCATGGCCTCTTTTCTCGATAGTTAAAGTGAAAGTGTGTTTCTGTTTACCAGGCGACACGGTGGACCGGAACAGTCACGTGATGGCGAACAGCGCCCGCAGACTGGAGGTGGTCAGAAACTGCATCACCTACATCTTCGAGAACAAGATGCTGGAGGCCAAGAAGGTAAAAGTCCCACACACACACAGAATAACCAACGCGTGAAACGACTATTATTTAAGTTTTTTTTAATGAGAAGTGGTTTGTTTTTTTTTGTCCCAAGTCGTCGTAGATGATCATTTGACATTCTTATTTTTACTTGTGTCTTATTTCTGTCTTTTTCCGTACTGCTTTTCTTTTTTTGCCTGCCGTGCTGAGGGCTCTGACACACAGCCCTTGTACAGTCACTGGACATTTTTTCCATATTTTAGTCTAATATTGCTGTTGGGTTGTGTCTATAGCTGATGCTGAGAGCTTTGATAGACAGACCATAGTATA